CAAAATTGCATGCTACACCACAGTTTTATCTACTTAAAGATGAAAAGATTACTTTCAAGTAATTTTCTGATGACAGAGACTTTGCAGAAAACATTGCTTTTCTTTCTAAGAAGGGAGAGAATGGCATTGGGACTCGAACGATAAAGTATGTTGCTTGCCTATATGACAATGACGGGTGGGTTGCTATGACATTAATGAAGATGAAGGGGACTTTCAAATGAACTTCATGCACCCACCTGAACCCACTCAGAACTTTACATGATCAAGCAGATCATACATATGCTGGGTATCACATTTACATGCTTTGCAAAACTGATTCATCCAAAACAATTACCAGTCAAACTTAGAGCTTCAGCTACAGTGACTATAAAGCAGTATCTCAGCTTGTCCATGGCTAGGGATCATTTTTAATTATTCTTTGTTGTCTCTGAATGTGAAGTCATGATTGATTCAATGTTTTTAGCAGCTATTTTTATTTCATGCAATATTACCTTAATTACAAATTTGTTTTTGCTCACGATTCTTGCAAGATTATACCCATTTTGTAAGGTGCAATTAACTCAAAATACTTCAATTGCAATTGTAATCTTAAACATTTTCTGATAGCCCAAAGAATACACTTTCAGAATATAGCAAGCTTCTAATGCTATGATTCCAGCTACAGGACTTTTTTTCAATATTTATATACATCGGTTGGGAATGTTTTCAAAACAAGTGATAACCTTTAACATATGACTATCTTCTTCACCTTAGAGAATTGGCAGATTCTGATGCAATATTTGAAATCTACAGTATCAAATCAATAATTGACATTATTTTCAAGCAAATATTGATAACTATAGAAAAGTTACAGCTATTGATAGAAAGCCCCGCCCATCGCTTGGTAAACTGGGTGTGGCATATTTGGCTAAAACGGGTCATTTTTGAAACGGCTACAAAATCGCAACCGTAAGAGATATAATGATGAAATTTTGTATGTGCTGTTTTCTCCAAAATGGCTCTTTGTGGTAAAAAAATCAGGAAATTCTAAGACCATGGGTTACATGGGTCTGATGATTTGACATGGAATGACCCAAAACTGTTTTTCTTACTTGAGATGCTGAAACAGGCCATGCTGGGAATAAAATGGCAGGGGTGCAATGAATCGCACTCCTTGTGGTGCCAAGGCGTGCAATGGTGTGCTATTGCACCAAAGTACTTAATAATACAGTCAGCTGTATAAGGACTAGACTACATAACTTTATCATAAGAAAACATAAGCAAGGCTAGTCCAATCAATACATTTTATCAAACAAGCTTTATTAACGTCAAACCCAACATACTAAAGAGAAAAACATTAACAATAAGGTAGGTTAATTAATATGTAATCCTGCAGTTTATAAACCCTTCTAGTCTGCTTCTCCTGACAATCTCGTTCTCAAAATTTAAGAATTCTAACTGTGTTTTCACCATAAAGAAAACTTATCTGTTGACTAGTGTTAGAATGAATTAAATGGTTAATTGCACGTTTATATTTTGTAAGAAAGCTACGGTAGCTAAATCCTCACAATTCAAAGTCTCTTAATTTTGGAACATTTTTGCCCACATTTTATTAGTAAAAGTTTCTAAAATGTTTTGTATTTGCATACAGATTAGAAAAATGCACAGAAAGTAAACTGTATATAGAGGAATTGTGAGTCCTGAGAAAACGGGATTTTACTGATCGCACTTGCAAGATACACTCGTAAACCACAGTGTAATCCGGTTCAAATCATTTAAAGCTTAAAGATCAATAAGCCTGTCTAAATAAACAAAGCCTTACATGTGCCATGGGGTTGTAACTACAGTGGAATCCCAATATAAAGAACTCTGAAGGGAACCAGAAAATATTTCGTATATCGGGAGTTTGTTAAACCGAGAGATAACGTTTTTTGGGGGTCCTTTCGCAGTTCACGCCTAAAAAACCTGTTGTGGGCTTGTTTAGGCTATCTCCAACCTCTGTGCACATGTACAGCCATACATGTACCATTTAACTCAAAAAAACCAATCTGAATTCAAATAATACAACTGGCTGGTCATTGAAAATGAAAATCTTAATGTTCCTTTTATAACTTGGGACCAAGAGATTGGCAAAGCTGGTATCACTTCGCTCCTAGTTGGTGCCTGAATGATGTCTTCAATTACTTCACATTCTTATTTGTCTTTTTCTGCTTCTCCATCTGGGTCTCTCAATAAAGTTTTGTCGTCTCTCATTGCCAATGTCTCATATGTAAAAAGGTATTCAGTAGTGTCAATGTACTCATTTGCAGTAATTTCTGACGCAATCAAACTTTCATCTCGTGGTCTGAGTCTATCAGCCAGTACTTGAAATGTATCATCGGCATGTTTTGCCGATTATAACAATGATTTCTCCCCAAGAGAAAGTGATAAATAAACACCGAAAATAAATAAACAAAAATAACAGATGAAAAATTTATAAAAATTCGTTATATCAAAGGGTAATTATGATGAAGGGACCTAAAAATGGTTCGTGATAACGAGAGTTCGTTATATCCGGGGTTTGTTATACCGAGAGAATTTGTAAGGAGTTTGTTACGCAGAATCCAAGGGACCAGGCATTTAGTTTGTTATACCGGGAAGTTCGTTATATCCGGGGTTCCTTATATCGTGATTCCACTGCAGTTATTGCAAATGAGACAAGCGACCACAACTGCAAAGCAAGGATTATCGGCCTAAAAGGTCAAGCGATTTTCAGACCTCAACTCAAAACTTTGATAAAAAAATTATGGAAACCTTCGTTTACAGGAGTTTTTGCCACTTTCAAAACTTCTGTTAGTTTTAGACATGGTATCATTGTGTGCCTTGAAAGTCCGGCTACTAGAATCTGAAGAAATTGAGAAGTGGATGTTTTCATCCAGAAAATGTTTACCATAACTTTAAGCAAATTAGAATATTCGCCAAATTTTTCGTCAAGTAGAAATCAAATAGAAACGATTGCGTGATTATCACCTTTCGTTCATAGTTGAATTATGATAAAAAAATTACATTGGGCCATACTGATCACTTTAGAATAAAGTGTTCAGATTATTTAAGGCGTGGGATAAACTGCACTTCTGAGCAACGGAAGGCGTGTGCCAAGGCGTGGGCGTGCGATCGCACGCCATTCCCAGCATGGCCTGTGAAATGTATTTTTAATAAATCAAATGCCTTCCTTTTCTTTTCTAGACTGTCAGGTTTAAGAATGAATTAGTAAGAAACATTACAATCAAATTGGGTTATGCAAATGCCAAGGTATGTTGAAATTCTGTTCACTCTAAATCATTCAAATCTGTTTTTGTTTTTCAAATAGCATTTGACTTTCTTTGTTAGAAACATTATGGTAAGAATCAAAGAAAATGTAAGTAAAGCTTTCTATTTGATGATTTAACCTTTTTATAGATTTACAAATGTGATTCACAATCCTGTCCAAAGCCTGTTTGTTATCGCTCTTGTGGAAGCAGCAAGGAGGATGTTTTTCCATGTGACAGAATCGGTTGTAATGGAAAGTTCAGACTAATGAGGTAAATAATATATTGAAATTTCTAATTTATCCATATTGCAGCATTGATTTCTTTAGGAACATTTTGTTTACATGGCTCATAAAGGGCAATCTACAAGTTAAACATTTTCAATCGAATAACAATGTCAAGCATCATTAAACATGTGCATTTCATGTGTTGAGTGCTACACAATTGGGGCTCATTTTGTTTGGTCATTGCTTAAGACATAACTATCAAAATGTAAAGTAAGCACACTTCAGTTTTTTTTGCAAACAGCTGAATTTTTTCAAATAAATTGTTTACATTTTTAGAATTTTCTTGTAGGCATATCTCATTTGTTGACTGTCCTGGGCATGATATTCTTATGGCTACCATGTTGAACGGAGCAGCTGTTATGGATGCAGCTTTGTTACTTGTTGCTGGAAATGAATCTTGTCCACAGCCGCAGACATCAGAGCACTTAGCTGCTATTGAAATAATGAAACTGGAGCACATTCTAATATTGCAAAATAAAGTCGATTTAGTGAAAGAAAGTCAAGCTAGAGAGCAATCTGAGCAAATAGCAAGATTTGTTGAAGGTATTGTTTTTTTGTCATCTGTATTTTATCTGAAAATAGCATCAAAACATGGCAACATAACATATAAAAACATTTTTCTTCTAAAGCTCCTAAGAGTATAAGCAGCCTATAATGTCCAAAACGTAAGGACTGATATATATATATCTTGGTGCAGAATATTTAATCAGAATATCTACTTACCGCAAATCCTCAAATTGCCCCCCTCCTTAAAAAAGCCCTCCCTCAAATAAGCCCCCACCCTAGAACTATAAATTGTCAACAAGCCCTCCCCCCTCGAATAAGCACCCTCTTCGAATAAGCCTCCACTGCTACCATAAATTCTCGAATTGAACCCCTCCATTTGACGATTTTCTGCCATCTGAGGTTGCCTATGGTTTTTTATTGAATTACCACAACAAATTCATACTTTTGGTAGTAATTAATTGAATGTTCTTAAACAAATTCCTACTAAAATGCAAGGCTTCTTTGTTTTAATGTATCAAAGCCACTTTTTGTGATAGATGGATGGTTACCAAAAGGACAATGTCAGAGCATACACTCTGCTAGGGTTGAGTTATATTCTGTGGAGCAGCTCATACATAAATCTAATTGCCAGTCCAATCATTAAATCCAAGGAAATATTGAACATGTTTTCCATATGAATGTGAAGCATTAAGTCTTACCCTAGAGTTTCTTGACTCTTTTCAGCGCATGGCACAGGCTACTATAAAAACCTTTTTTACCGTCTTCTCACAGTAATCTTTCATACACTACCAACTAGCAGTAAATGCACACATTGATGTGTAATTTGATGATAACATTTAGAATTGATAACATTTGTTGCATAGCAACGTTGAAAGAAGAAGAACTAGATGTTCCTGCCTTACCTCAGTTTAAATTGCAGTGAAGCTTATCTTCCACCATTTATGTTGTGTGTTTGCTGATACATTTGTCTTCTCTAGTTTGAACATGTTATCAATATCTGCCAATTACAGTATATGCCTAATGCCACAAAATATAATTTTTAAGGAACAATAGCGGAGAAAGCCCCAGTTATTCCAATATCTGCTCAGCTGAAATACAACATTGAGGTCATTTGCGAATACATCTGCAAGAAAGTTCCGATTCCAATCAGAGACTTTACATCAGAGCCAAGACTTATAGGTAAGCTTTATTTTCATTTTTTATTGACATTATATGATATATAATATATATGTAATTATATGTATGTAATTATTTATCAAATTATGTTCATATTGTGTCAGATGTCTGTAGCACTACAGTGATAGGTAATCAGAAAAATCAATGATATAGAGGACAAGAAGAAAAGATAATCAGATGGAATTGGACATTGTTTACAGAGCCAACAATTTTTTTGAATTCTTGGAGAACATTTTTCAAACTTTTTAGAAAAAAATGTTCTTTTGTTAATGGACACATATGATATCATCTTATCAAAACAATAGACTTGCATACCCCTCCAATATTTGACCAAGTGTTTATCACTGCCCCTATCTATTCTGGATAAGAAAGTTTAATGCTTTGAGCACAAGGTATCAATTTAGTTAACAATAATCTTTGTAGACCCATTGTTGTAATTGTGTTTGATGTGATATATATACATATGAATTTTGTTTTTCACCAGTTATCAGGTCATTTGATGTGAATAAGCCTGGTTGTGAAGTAGATGACCTAAAAGGTGGTGTTGCTGGGGGAAGTATTCTAAGAGGAGTACTAAAGGTCATTTTTTCTTTATTTCATTATCAACCTTTTGTAATTTCTATCAAGAAAATTATGTTTATATTCTATAATTAATATTAGGTTTTTCTGTTTCCAGCACTGTTCCAATTGGGATAAATTGTTTAGTGGAAAATAACAAGAGTATCCAATTTTTACTTGTCAACTTTTCAAAATAATGTTGCAAATGGTGCTTAGGGGAAACAGGCTTATGCAAAGAGCAGTTTTTGCAACACACCTTTTACATTTAAATTAACATATTCTTACTTATAAATACACATGTGCAAATCTTTTACATGTACCAATAGTTCTGGGTAGTAACTGCACTACTTATTGTTGATGTGGTGTGTAGATGCGCTGCAGTACCACTTCTTGACTTTAGAATATTACAGCTACTGAAAGACTTATTGCCTGTGACGCAAACTGTTGCATTCTGTTCAATAATAAGATATAACAAAAGAACATTTTCTTTACTATTGTTCCAAGCTTTTTGTAAGTCTTCACCTTGTTCAGTTTCACATTGGATGCTCCTATGAAATTGTGTTTTTTTCTTACTTGCTCGTTTTGCAGACCAATAAACGGATTCTAGCTGATTATTTATTTTGGAAACATTCTTTATTTATTTATTTACTTATTTATTATTGATTGTTTATAATCTTCCTCAAAGATACAACAGTTGATAATATCAATTCATTGTACATTTGCAGAATTGATACTTATCTTAACTTGAAATTTCAGGTAGGACAAGAAATTGAAATTCGACCAGGAATTGTTTCCAAGGATGGTGATGGAAAGCTGAAATGTCAGCCTATATTTTCAAAAATTGTGTCACTATTTGCAGAACACAATGATCTGCAATTTGCTGCCCCTGGAGGATTAATTGGTTAGGAAATATTCTTATTTACAAGTTTGGTTTGAAACTCATGAATCCTCAAATGTGTATCCTTCAAAATGGACTTTTGACACAGTTTTATCATTAGCAGACGATGGGTAATTTTGAGATTTTTTGCTGGCTATCGGATAATACCCAATGAAAATCACCCGAACATTTTCGGATTTAGATTTAATTCCTTTCCGTCTCAGACAAATACACTTTTCTTTTTCTATCCAGTATAATCTAACTTTAACTAAAGAGAAATGCTCCTCTTCTAAGTTTCAAAACTCTGCGTTTCGTGATTGTGACAAAAGACAAAATGCATGTGCCATGCACAAAATGTGTGGGACTTGGTAGATCTGCAAATGTGAATCCTTGTCTATGAAGGGAATGGTGAGAAGCAAGGATATGATGATGACAAATAAATTTGCCTTTGTATTGACTTTAGGTGCTTGAGTAGTGAACCAACAACTTACTAGGTAATAAAAGTTAGACTGAATTTTTTTCTGGCAAACTAGTTTTGTTCTTGTTGGGTATGATCGGTAAAAATGATTTAAAGCTAAAGCTAATCCCCTTCAAATCAATGCCTTGCATGTTGTAGGACTATGGTTGTAAAATAGTAAAACTTTTTTCAAGTTAAATTTCTTGCAAAAGCATGACAGTTTTTGTTCTCAACATTCTGTTTATGATATTAAATGTTTCTTTTTCATTTGCCTGTAGGTTATCTTCTATCATTTATGCTCCAATATAAAGAAAAATTTTAGCAACAAAGTAGTTTTCTAGCATATTCGTTTTCTAAATTTTGTTGATTTTTTCAGGTGTTGGTACAAAAATTGACCCAACTCTGTGTAGAGGTGACCGTATGGTTGGTCAGGTATGTCATTTATGTACAGTAAACATTGGCATATAATAAAACTGGAATTTTGCAAGTCAGGCTGACTAGGTACTGATATATTTGGTATTTCATGGTAAATTGTGCTGTTTAGGCTCTTTAATGAATATATTCTTATTTCATGTAGGGCTTTCACAAATTTCTTTTGTTGCAATTCTAACTGCAAGTATTTTTGATGTTTTTACTGGGGCTACAAGTGAGAAAGTTGAGTAAAAAGGAGTCGACCAAAGACTTGAATTGAATCAAAATGTGAACAGTACAGCACTTTTAGCGCATAAATTGAAAGATTTTGAAATACTGAACAGATAACTGAATACTGAGTTTATTTAAAGTGTTCTAAAGCACCTACAATCAATGGCGGCACCAGCCGCTATGCTCTGGGCGGGGTAGGGGGGTAACAAGATTTAGGCCAGGCCCTTTTAGCACTAGAAAACGGCCTCTTACAATCAAGGAAAGCCAATTTTACCTGAAAGGAACGCCCATAACTAACTGTTGGCTATGAAAAGACAGTTTGAAAATCAAAGGATGACATCAAATAATGTACGTTGCCAAAATGTTACTCCTCTCCCAACATTTTCTCGTCGGATTTAGAAAAAAACAACATTGATCCAGCCGAGAACTAGGGGGATGTTTCCAGGCAATATAGTGTGTTAGACTAACTCTGATACCTTTTTTGATAATGATATTGATGGTGATAGTGATGCAAAATAAGTCTAGAAGATTTTCATGCCCAAAGACACTAATAATATAATATTATTAGTGTCTTTGGCCATAATATCATTTTTATAATGATTATTGTTATATCCACTTGCAGGTCCTTGGTGCTGTTGGTGCTTTGCCTGAAATCTATACCGAGTTTGAAATTAATTATCATTTACTGAGACGACTGCTGGGTGTAAAAACTGAAGGAGATAAGAAAGGTGCAAAGATTCAAAAACTTGCAAAGAATGAGGTTCTCATGGTGAACATAGGCTCATTATCAACAGGAGGCAGAGTTATTGCTGTGAAGAAAGATTTGGCAAGGATTGTATTGACTCAGCCTGTATGCACAGAGATTGGAGAGAAGATAGCTCTTAGTAGGAGAGTTGAAAGTCATTGGAGGTGAGTAAGACAAATGCAACCATCTTCCTATTATATGCTGTTATAGGCTCATTTAGATCCCAAAATGCTTACAGTTCTGTCAAATAAAAACTCTGTTGGCACACGTTAAACTTTTACCTTAAAACTTAGTTTTATATTTGGCTCCAAACTGTGGGATCTATGACACATAACTTGGATAATGTGAAACAGTAAGAGTTAAATGTTTTTTCTAGTTGAAGGATATCATAATTTCAATTCAGTGGTGGCTGTGACGAAAATAAGATGATACCAGTAAAGCAAAAAAAATTTAAGCAGAGGGAACCAGCTAGAGAAAGGGTTGTACACAGGCATGGTCCCTGGAAGATCTTTATTTTATAGCTAATATGGCTAAATTGTATTTTAATGGCAGGTCAGAAGTTTTCAGACAGTCCCTCGGTTTGTTTGATGTCATGTAATATTGCCAGCTGCAGAGGTTAAATGGCTTTGTAGCATTTTATCATAGAAAGAGGAATCTAGTACTACAAACGATTTTGTCATTGTTGCATTGTGGGAAACAAACAGTTTTACCTCAGGTTTAGTCACAAATGACAATGGGACAGACTTCTGTAGTAATGGATGAATAAAATCTAGTACGGTTGTGTACATAAAGGGCTTATTCAAAACCAATCTTTCAATGAGAAGTAAGATAAGGAGGCTCAGAATTAAGATATGGGTGTATTTTCGCTGCTCTTCCTTTTTTGCCATTAATTCAATTATCATAGAAAAAATAAAAATCATACAATCCAAAATTATTTCAAGCTTTAAAAATAAAATGGAACTAGACTGGTACCACTAGTACCTCTGTAAACTGCCACTGCTTAAATTCATTTTTGGTGAATTAAAGAGAATCAACGGACAGATGTCCCAGTGTTTTAGAAATAATTTCAAATTATATTTTATTTGAATTGGCATTGAGCTGTTTCCCAAGGACAAGATTTTTTGGAATTTCTGGAAAGAAAAGGGAAAATTATCATGACTTATTGCCTATTAATAAATGTGTAGGTTAGCAAGTTCTATATCTGTTCATTCCCTTTATGTGCTTGCTAGCAGCAACCTGACATTTTTCCATTTTTATACCCCACTTTTATGTTTACTGTTGTAGTGATACACTTCAATTCATTTCCAGGCTTATTGGATGGGGTCAGATTCGCAAAGGAGTTACCATAAATGCAGGGTATGTGGTTTCTTATTGAATATAATTTTCATTCTTTTAACTAGACAAATAGATTAATAAGTATATTGCATTAAATCTGATAATCTCAAAAAACTAACCAAACCTTGGTCAGACAATAGACCTAGCTTGAAACCTATTCAAGATCAACAGAATCTTTGTCTGTGTCAACAGAAAAAGCTGAAACCTTTCTTATTGACTTAGTTCACCACAATATAATCCAATTTTTCTCAACAAAATCTCCTCAAGTGCCTGTTTACAGGTCAGCTTTGAAGTATTCCCTGATGTCTCATATTATGACAGTATTTTCAAACACATCCCAGAAAGTTCATTTTCATTAATCATTGAAACAAATTATAACAGACTGCCACATTAGCAAGCCTATTGTATTGTTCTCTCAGCCAAAAAACTTTTGTCAAGAAACTCCATGGAGTACTCAATAAGAAGGCTCTTTGTATTGGATTGGACCATAAGTTCTTTCCTGGGGTTTCTTATTACATGATTGCCCTCTATTCAAGCCTTTCCTTGAATAATATTTCACAAAGAAGAACTGCCTTCAACAAGGTTGATTCCCAGGGAAGCCCTCCAGGGCTTGAGGGGTTATTAGGGTATCAGATACCCAGGATTGTCAGCCTTTGATCTTGTAAGTGCATGGCTACTGCAGATTTGTAAACAAACTTTTTGATGTAAGTGATATATAACGTAATGACCTTTGTCTCAGGAATGCTAAACTAACCTTTCTGTAATTGCTCTTGGGGGTGAGATATTTTGAACAAGAGCTGTCAAAAGCATGTGCAAGTGATTTGGTTGAGGGCAGCCGCAAAAGTGATCATCCGCATGAAACAAATAGGTCTGCCTCTATTTTCAAAAAGCATCTGAGATTATGGAAATGTCAGTACTGAAGAAAATAATTCTAAACAGGTTCATTGGTTAAGCAAGTATGGTTTGTTTATCAACCCGACCTTCAAATAGACAAATCTCCATTTAACAGAAAGAAATTGTTTGTACTTCATTTTTATCCACAAATAATTTTTGGGCTCAGGTCATCGTGAGCACTTTTATAGATTACCAGTCTTGTATGCTAAGAAAATCTTAATTTCAAATGATAGTGCCATATACTCTTAGAACAATACATTACTCTGGCTTTAATTTGCTGTTAAAATACGTTTTGACAAGATTGATAATTCCATGGCTGTTTATATGGTTAGCTAAAATGTAGCATGGCTATCTATAATAAACACAATAATGGTCTGTCATAAAATTGATGAGTCATATAGGCAGAGCTGTACATTCTGTTGACTTATAGAACAGGAATGTTCTAAGTTGTTATTCTGAGTTTCATGCTTTATGGGTGAACAGGCAAGGGAACAGGCTAGAGATGTTTTTAATGGTTGTAAAATAATCCAGTCAATTTTTGATAAGCTGCTATGCTTGAAAGTTTACTTTCATTTTTGCTTTTTTTCAGATCTGCATAATCAGGGCTTATTCAGAGCTGGTATGGATGTTGGTGGTATGATCAAACTGAAAATCATTAAATGCACAAAACTAAATAAAAAAGTTAGAAAAACCTGATGTAACATCATTTAAAGTATGAACCCTAACAATGCTTATTGAAAGAAGTATATTCTTTCTATATATACTTTTGTATCAAACTCTTCAAAAATGATAAAACATTATCATTTCAAATACATAGCAATTGAAGCTTTTGAGGTATGGAGTATTTAAGCAAGAGGATTTTGTGCGTTCTGATCAGTAGTATTTTATTTCGCATTGTTACTTTTTGTTGAGTTGCCTTTCTTTGAAGCAACTATCTAAAGCTGGTGTTTCAACGGAATTACATAATTGGCTACAAGAGAATCATTTACAAAACTTCCATATTATTCTGGAATATCATATATATTTTATATTAGGTCAATTTGACAAAAAAAAAGATATTTTAAGGTACATAACTATTTACTAAGCTCTGCAACATAAGGATAAAGTCTCACTTCCCAGTTGCAACAAATTCAACTATACTATTGCAAAATCTTGCTGAATATTAAGTACCAACTTTGTTTCACAAAAATACTAATATTTTAGGACAAATTTAGTTATAGTGTTGCCAGGGATTCCAAACGTTATAAATTACTAACTCTATAGAAAATATATTATGTTTTCATAAAGAACATTTTGGCAAAACAACTGCATGATTTGTGTAAAATACTGGATGTGCAGCTACCATCTTTCTTAATATAGATTTCTTGAGGGGCTGGTTTGAGGGAAAAGAGGGGCTGTTTGATGGGAGAGCTGGCTATTTGAGGGGGATGGAGAGGGTGATCTGAGCAGGAAGGGGCTAATTTGAGGGGGAAAGCTACAAACAAATATTAATTATAATAAATTGCCAGAAATATTATAACTTTGAGACTTTTGGGTTTTAATTTTGAAAAGTAAGTGTTAAGAAAAACATGTTATGAAAACATACTAATTGATGAGTGTGATACATCATATATGTACAAAAACAAATTGCTAAGATGTATATTGAAACTTGTGTCATAACATTGAGATTCTCTACTCAGGACGAGAATACAACACTATAGCCGAAATAACCATAAATGCCCCAATTAAAAACTGAACACTGACAGTGAAACTAAATATATAAACTGAAACAATACAGGATACTATAATAGAAAAGGAAGTTGCAAAACCCTTTAGAATGTTATCTGCATACTTGACTACCACAGCCACTAAAAGTCCACCAAATGCTTGCATGAAAATAACAATCCAAACAAGTGTATTGTAACCAAACAGGAAGCCTTTTTCTTTCACAGCAGCCCCGTCATTAGCAAACATTCCAATTATACCAAGAAAAACCCCAAAAATTCCCATCTGAATATTCCTTAGCCAAATTGATCCAGTTGTTCCCTTGAGAATCTTTTCAAAGTAAACACCAGCAAATCCAGAGCACAGACTTGAGGCAATTACAGCACCCAATCCAATGAGTGGATTTTGTGAGCTATCAGCTGATGTTGGTGTTTTCTTTGTTGAAATATTTGTAGGCTGTAGCTGCACCATGGCAACACCAAAGAACAAAATTATAAGTGAGACCCATTTCATTCGGTTTAATTTCTTGCCAAGCATCACCACAGAGAAGATAGCTGTGGTTAATATTTTAAGCTGGTATGTAACTTGAAAGGTTGCTGCATCAAGATTTGATATTGCAACATACTGCAAGTTGTTCTGAACAACATAGATCAGTGATGGAACTGCAACTTTTAAGGTATCTAATGGCTGTGACAAAATATTGCCATGCAAAAATCGTACCCATTCAGGTATGCTCTTTATTTGAATTAATGTGATGCCAAGACATGCAAGGACCTTCAATAGCTACAAAGAAAAAAGAATGTGAAATTTAGAGAAAGACATAAAAAATCAGTTTTTGCAAGTAACAATTATTTGTGAAGCATCAGGCTAACAGACACACAATGAAGAATTATTTTGTTAAACAGCAGTGGCAGAAATTGTGGGGGTGTGGGGGGGACAATAGCCCCCCAGGTATTGGTCAATTGTTGGTAAAATTATGTCATTTGTCAGCAAATTTGCTTGCTTTTGTGGGCATTGCCCCAACCCCACCCCCCCTTGAAAAATGAATTTCTGCCACTGTTAATCAGCAGTGGAAACTAATGCTCTGGAGAGAGAATCAGTTTGGCAAAGCATGCTGGAATGAAACCTACATTGCCTGTAAATGTATTCCTTGACAAAATATTTTAAACTCAAAAACTCAAAAACATTGTTTTCAGCAAATCAATTAATTACACGTTAGGTCATTTAAGTAAGTTGTTCAAAATTCAATTATTAAATCAAAAATTACAATAACAACATTAAAGAAAAAAGACAACCCTATATACAATTAAATCATTAATTAAATCAAATCTATATACAATTAAATCCTATAATAATTCATTACATGAGCTACACAGTTAACAACCTACCAACTTGAAGACATGGACACGACATGCTTATATCTTGCAAAAAAGGTCCTGTCTCCATAATTGTAAGAATAAGGTAACTTCCAAAGTTTTAACTGGGGATTTTAACTACCAATCAAGCAAATGATAAAATTGCTTGTAAGGACATTTCACTTATAATTTCCCAATATTTCTTGCGAATAGCAAGATGTTTTTGGAGACTTAGGCTACACTTGTCGTGCTATTTTTTGTCGTCTCAAATGAAATCTTTCAAAAACAGGAACGAAGCAAATCTTTTGACACGTTGTCATTTTTCATGATTGTGTATGACTATCTTCACGAAAAACAGGTAAACCGTGACTGAATGCAAACATTGAATCAGTTAGGACAAGAATAGCTTCAATTTACCTCTGCTAACACCACTGCTGTACTTGTTATGTATCTATCGCCAGGTAAAATTCTCGAATACCTTATCAACAATATCAATGAAGCATTTTGAATGGTGAGGACAAAGAGACTCCAGTACTTGAGTGACTTATTTGCCGCTGCTTGAGAATTTTTCTTCATGTCTATCGCCACTGATGTTGCTTTAGTTGCTTCTGTCATTATAGGTCGCTTTGAAGGTTCAGAACCTAATCAAGCCCTCCGGCAAAATTAATTAGATTTTAAGTTGGCCCACGTTGCAAACCACTTTGAAAACCAATGGCCTTCGCAGGGGCTGAATTCACAGGTAAACATGGACCCCGTCAATCTCACTCAACCGGATGGAGTGGAGTGATTCCAAGGGCGGTGCTACGGGGGTTGGGGTGTGTCACTCCCAGGTTTTATGAATTCTGTTCCTTACTTAGCAGATTCGTCATATGTTGTGCTTACTCAGTAAACTTGAATCAATCAATGTGATGGAATCAATAAAAAAATCAATGATAGTCAATGGTGTTTTTACTTGTTTGCTTTCATTTTCATTTAGACTTGATCCCCTTCGACTGGAGCCAAACTCCACATAACAATGGTTCAAGGTTGGGTAGGGGAATGATGAGAATCTCTACATAACAATGTTTCAAGGTTGGGTAGGGGAATGACCAGAAAATCGATCATAATCGGTCAAATAGCGTTACAGGGCCCGCGCCACGAATTTGAAAGTGGGGGGGGGGGGAGGCTATGAAAAGTAGGGGCAAAGGCTTCTTACCCCTTTTACTCTTTTACTGCAGCTCTAAAATTACTTTATCTGCAAAAAAGTGGGGGGCTATGGCCAGCCCCGCCCCCCTGTGGCGCGGACCCTTATTTATTCTAAGAATAAGGTTGTAGTAAAAACTGCTTTAATGAGTCGTTTTCCACCAAACTGGAAGCATCAAAATTCGAAAACTTTCCCATTTTTGCGAGTTTACGGTTGGGGCAAAAAAGAGCCCAGATCAACGGATCTGTATAACATGTGGGGAGATGGAAGATGAAATACATTGTCTCATGAGATGCAAACTAGATATAGCTGGAAGAGAAAAACTTTTCTAAAAAAATCATCGCATAACAAAAACTTCAATCACTTCAAAGAAAGAACAAAATCAATTTACTTACTAGAAAGTAACCAAATTTGTGATCAAAATGTTTATCAGTTTGTAAATCAGTGCCTATAAAATAGCTACTCGAAATAAAATGAAAAAGCAGAACTTACACAACCAAATAATTCAAATCGCGAAGTTGAAACGGGTTACAAAAATATCAACTCTTAGATATAAACGTATTTTAGCAAATTATATTGTTGTCTTCGTTTTGTTCTGTTTGTAACTTTTGTCATTAGCTGCTTAAAGTATGCAAAAATTATTTGTAGTTAGGCTTTTGATAGAAAATGAAATTCTTATACTATTAATGTACATTAACCAAATATGTATATGGTTACTACGCACAGGTTTATTAAGGGTGATAATCAATGTTGATGCACGACTGATAAACAGATGTTAAAGCCCGCTCTTCTGCAGGTATCGTATAAATAGTAATCTAATATATATTTATGAGAGACGCTAGCATAGCCGTCATCCACAAAATGGTAATCATAAAATATTGAATAAAAAGGTCCGTCAATTAAAGTAATTTAGTTGTCCCAATGCTATTTGTGAAGAATTGTTTTGCTCCCATTCAACAAACTGTTATAGTTATAAAGGAAATAAAATACAGTTTGACAATTATTAGGGATGCTCAAACCCCCAGCCCCCCTTTCGATAGCCCTGAATCAGGATCACTCGAGTCAAGATTCTCGAGAGATTTCTCAGATGTATGTGAAAACAATAGGATAGTGCGCGCTTGTTAAATGATTTGCAATCTTTGGAAGCAATATAGGATAAATAATTTCTTAAATATATTCTTACTTTATCTTGATAAATAAGTTCTTTACTTTATCTTGATTGTGGCAAACCATAAATATACTAGATTGCGTGCGGTACAATATAATGCTATAAAAATGATTAATATAAGTAAATTGTACCAGGAAAATTTTTTTTAAATCAATAACAACGACTTTTTGTAGCAAACCATGTTTGGGGTGGTCATAGTTTATTTGGTTTTCAACCGTTTAAACTCAATATCACGGCACTTATCATGTAAACCTTGTGATAAAATTATAAATTCTTAAATTTAGTCTTTGAATCATCGGAATCTGTCTTATGAATTGTTTAGCTTTAAAAATGCCTTAAAATTTTACGGCTTTGTTCGGAAATCAGTTGGAAGAAATTATACTTCTGCGATGGAATTCTCAGCGTGCGAAAGAGGCTAGTTGAACTCGAGCCTCAAAGTTCTATTGGTCGCTGACATTGATCGATTGTTTCCTTTATCCAATCAAATCCGTGGTTGTAATTTGAAATTCGTTTAGTTCAACATATTGCCATTTCGCTCCGTGTTCGTGTGACGTTGGACAACTAATAAAAACAATTCTAATTTCAAACTACATTGTACTTTATTTGGTAATGTTAAACCTAAGCTAGACATAATTTTGGTTTTGAAAAATCAAATTGATCATGTCTGATGAAAGTAGTTACTACAGTCCTGGCGAAGTTGCAGAGAGCGAGAAAGAAAACAACGTCGGCCTTCTTGCACGAAACCTCATGCCGGAGTTCCAGGATGAAATTAAAACCATATCAAATAAAAATACGGAAAGTCGTGAACCAATAAAAGTTTATTTGAGAATAAGGCCTTTTTCACAAGATGAACTGAAGGCATCAGAAGATCAAGGATGCCTCACAATTATGGATGACAAGACAGTTCTACTAAGCGCTCCGCGGGATTCGTTTACCTTCAAAAGCAGCATACGAGGGATTGCAGAACAAAATCATCAGTTTTCTTTCTCAAAAGTATACGATGAAAAAATTTCACAAAAGGATATATTTGATGATGCAATGCTGGGATATGTCAAAGATTTCTTAGATGGGATAAACTGTCTTGTTTTCACATACGGAGTGACAAATTCAGGGAAGGTATGATCTATGATGGTGTTGGGGTCTCTTCCTTATTTTTCTTATGATACCAAGTTCTTAATTTATAATTGATTTGGTTTGTTTGGAAAAATACATTTAGGTTATTTTCACATAAACATGATACAAAATTCAATGAAATTTTCATTCCTTCATATTCTTGGAAACATATTTTTTTAAATTTTAAAATTCAAATTTAATCCATAGCCTTGATATTTTAATTTACAAACATATATCACATTTTGCATATAGCTTCAGTGTTCCTTTGGTATTCATTATATTAATTATTCAATGAAAAGGGCACTGGGCTTGAAAACCTCTGGATTTGTCTTGGTGTCCTTGGCAACATTTAATGCAACTTGTAATCTAATAATAAACTAAACCATTATTGGTTAACATTTGTATACTTTGAAACTTTTGATATATTTTTTTGTGAAGTTAAAGAAAATGAATTTGAATGTAATTTTTTTATTTTGCAGACATTTACAATCCAAGGAAACCCCAAAAATGGTGGAATCCTTCCACGTGCTCTGGATGTTCTGTTTAACAGTATCAAAGGAAAGCAATATGAACATATGAATATAAAACCAACAATGTATCAAGATGTTTCCAGTTTGACTCAAGAGCAGCAACACTACGAAGAAGTGCTCAAGAAAGCTGTTTTAAACGCAGGGCAAAAGCATGACATTGATTTGTCAATTTTGTGGAAAATAGACACCACTTCCCAGAGTGATCTATCTACGATTTCAGCTGCCAGTACTGCTTCAAGCAGCTATATCACAGCTAATGATGACGGTATAATGATTCAAGACATAACTTTTTATTTTCGCTTTATTTTGCAATGAAAGCATTAGAGCATGGGCAATTATGATAAACAATCTTACATGAAATACAAAGCCTAAAGCTTAAAATACTGATTAAATGAAAGATCAATATTTATCATGTAATTTGTTATTTGCATGTTTTAAAATTCTGACTTTCTTCATTTTTATTAAATCGGCAGATTACAGCTCAATTTCTGAGGAGCTAAAAGAGAGAGTTTGTGATGGGACAGTTATTGACATTAATTCTCAAGGACCAGTGAAATTCAGTGTTTGGGTGTCCTTTGCTGAAATTTACAATGAATATGTTTATGATCTTCTGGACCCCACTCCTCTTGGAAAAGGAAAAAAGAGACCAACACTAAAGCTTGGCGATGACAAAAAGGGGAATCCATACATCAAAGGTAGAACAAAATCATTCTGTATTTTTTTCATTATCTTATACAGTTAGCATTTATATGCTAGCCTCCTAGAAAAACCCCAAACTTATTTTTGAAATTTGTGATATAAGTTGTTTCATGATATGTTCTTTTCTTTTTAAAATCTGTGTAATCTTTTCATTTATGTATATATATGACAACACAGCAGTGAGTTTAAGGAAATTTTTGTTGTTGCTAGGGTTGAAGGAAATCCAAGTAAACTCTGCTGATGAGGCATTCAAGGTAAGTCAGATATGAAGAAATTTAGTTATTTTGCTTTTCAAGCAGGATAGAAAAAGAAACTGTTCAAATCTGGTTTTAAGGCATGTACCCACATTGGGAATCATTATCTGAAACCACCAAACAATATCTTCATATTTATAGAAAAAACCTTTTCCCTTGTCTTTGTAATATCTAATGCATGAGTATGTTGAAAAGGGTGTTACCTTTTTCATTTTTTTAAAAATGTTCTGAATGGTATTGCTCACTTCCTTTTTAAGGTTCTGAGGGTTGGCCAAAAGAATCAGAAGATTGCTGCAACAAAGTTGAATCAAAATTCAAGCAGAAGGTTTGTCTTCTTGGAATTGTTGCACATAGCTTTGCAATAGTGGTGTATACAGGCCTGGTCATTTGAGGAGAGTGATACCTCTTGCTACCTTGCAGATTACCCTCCTAAATTGTTCAAAAAAGAAAATTGTCCTACTTGAAACCAATTGCTCTTGTTTCCTTTATTTCTATTTTACATCAATCTATGAATAACTCGCCTGGAAATTACTAGAAGAGCTGTTTACTGCCACTCCCTTGCTACAAAGTCATATGGCCAGAAATATGTCTAGGGAGTTATATGGTCTTCACCTGTCCACTGGGTCCAGTTAACATATTTGGTCTTCACCTGTAAAGGGTCTTTCAGGGATGAGCTTATACAGCATAGGCCAGAAAAAAGGGATTTCAAATAAAAGACAGAGTTACCTTGATTACTGTATACCTTGAACAAGCCTGTGTTACTGTATATGTTGTAAAACCTGAATAACAGTTTCTTTTTTTTCAATTTCAGTCATTCAATTTTTACAATAAAAACACTCAGAGTTGTTGATGTTGATGAACCACATGTTGCTCGTATCAGCAGGTTTGATCATAATTTTTCATATTAGTGTGATTGAAGCCAGCATATGACTATAAATAAATTTTGAATCCTTTCTGATACTTCAGATCAAATCATATCCAACTTTGCTATCTATTGATGATCCTATTAAGTGTTAAATTCAGCATTGCAACTTATAACCATCCTGTTTTACACTAAAGAATATACGTCCTTTTCTACAGAAGTAGGTTTATAAGAAAGACTAGAAGTATAAACAGCTACTAAGTAAGCGTTTCTTAACTAATCTACCTTTAGATGTTGACTCCAGAAGTCAGCATTTCTCTAACAAAATTTTTTTCATTTTCTTTCGGGAAAAAGGAAACTGGATATCAGATAATATTTTTCATAGATCAAAATGCTACATTATTTTTCACAATGCCTAAAAGTCGTGAAATACTCAATCTTTTCTTAAAATTTTAACTCAGTAGGTTTGGTTAATCAAGTAGAATGAAAATCATATTGAGTATTTGTGCAAACTACAATAACCAAGTGCAAACTACAGGTATTCTGCTTCAAATATATCCATTTTCCCGATAACTACAGACATCCCAAAAAATATTTCGCATTAAAAGTTCGTCAATACTTCTGTTCAATTAATCAGGTTGTCTTTTGTGGACCTGGCTGGATCTGAAAGGTACTGCAAAACACAGAGCACAGGGGATCGTTTGAAAGAGGCTTCGAATATAAACACGTCAATCATGACCCTTGGAAAATGCATCGAATATCTACGATACAACCAGCAGCACAAGTAAGTCTCAATGATTTGACCAGGCCATGTCTGGACTTGTCGTTTGTTTGAGTGTATATCTATGTTGATCAGAAATAGCTTATTCTTAAGTTTATAATGGTTTTTGCTTTCTTTTTTCTAGGAATCACCCAGTCATTATCCCATTTAGAGAAAACAAACTGACTCGACTGTTTCAAGGGTTCTTTGTTGGGAAAGGCAAAGCCTGCATGGTCGTGAACATCAGTCAATGTGCGTCTGTTTTTGATGAAACCTACAATGTACTCAAGTTTGCATCCGTTGCAAAGCAGGTTAGAAAACGAGTTACAGATAATTTCATTATGACGTTGATTTTTGATTACCAATTAGTCGCAAACACGTCAGTGCTGTTTCTGATTAAAAAAATCTGTTCCTTTTAATTCCTTCAAAGATAGATTTTTGCGTAAGGACTATCCATCTAACACATGGCAATTAATCATCGTCTAACAAAGAGATATTTAAATCAATTTCGTTTGAACTTAAATAGTGGTCCTTCTTCGTTTGTAATATACCAAGCAGATAAATTCAAATATACACTTATCATTTGTCTTGAAAAATGCACACATCTTTTCGCCACATTTCTATATTTGTTTCAAACTATGAAATTTACGAGCATTTTCTTATGCAGGTTACGACTAAAAGTGCTCGAAACACCGATATTTTCAAACCAAAGCAGCCACCGAAACCATTGCTGGCAACTGCAACTCCTGTGAACAAGTTTGGAAAGCACAGTTTAATAAGTATGGGCTTCACTACGCCCAGGCCTATCCAAAAGGACATTATGTTTGAATCTATGTGTGCTGAAAATGATGATGAGCCCGTGCAGGTCCTCATCAAAAATTACGAAGCCCTTCGTAAACAGTTGGTCGATGAACGACGCAAAAATGCTATGATGGAGCTGAAAATAAGAGAGGAGGTTTGTGCTGAGATGTCAGATCAAATTGTCGAAATTGAAAGAAATTACAAGTGAGTCAAATTTACATATTTGGCCTGTGTGATTTTTCTGTAAACTACTCTTTGCCAGCTTCGAAATCTCATAGGCTGAAAGAGAATCTTGCAGTATCGTTATACGATGTATGTTGATGTAATTTGCGTCAGCGATTTTTATTGCCAAACTGTTTGATCATTAAAGCCCAAAAAAGTAATTTGTTACTTTGTTACTTTGTTATGTTCCACTAAAAGCTATTTTTTCGCAAAGTATCTTCACTGTGTCGAGCAAAAGGGCCACAACTCATTCTAAAATTTTTAACCAAGACCTTTGCCTCAAAATTGAAGGTAATTTTGCTACTTCTTTCTTTTAGCGAGCGACTTCAGGAAGAGCAGGAAACGATGGAAGAAATGTGTGAACGAAGAATTGAGATGCTTACGAAATCAATGAAGAAGGCGAGGAAGAAGAGGAAGCTTGACAGACTCGAATCAGAAGATGACGTCTCCAATGTGCTGTATCAAGCAGAAAAGAATAGAGTTAAGGTAAGCGTCAGGGTATCTCAAGGTAATCTTAATGTCTGTTTTCCTTTCCTCAACAACTCTTCCAGTATTGATTTTTCGTAATGTTCTGAGAGTATGAGATAAACGGCTTTCATATTCGTTTTACTTGTCCCTCTTTGCACCTTGGTAAATTGCTTTTGAATTAACAAATATAAAAGTGACTTGAGCCATCTGTCAATCTATATTAGCCAATCAATGACCGTGTTTGTGGAATCACACACGCTGGTTGGTCAATTTTTGATTGAAAAATGACTTAAGCCTATTCAATTTGATATCTGTCGATTACCTTTAAGGGGAACATTTCAGAAAACAGGAACATTTTATTTGAAACCTCTGCTGCTCTTCTCATCTCAAATAATCTAACATCTCGATGAGATGGTATTGTTTGAAGCCGTTTTCTTGTTTTTCTTTCTTATTTTTATAGCTACCGTTTCATAAGGTCTCTCCTATTCTTATTGTTATTGATATCTTAATCTTATTTCATTTTCATTTGGTGCCAGATTTTTTAGACGTCTCTTGATATATGAGGTTTCACGTGCTGTAGTCCAGCCTTTTGCCGGTCTTTTAATCGATAGTGACCTTGCTTCTTTGTCTCACAAGATCAAACCAATGTTGCCAGGTTTCTAATGCTTTAGTACACGTAGGGACTTTATGTTTCCAGCCATTGTCGCTAAGTTAATTTGTTTAACCTATTTTAAGTCTATTTTTAAGCAGCAGTTTCTTCAAAACAAGCTTTTTTATCTATTGCGTTATGAAAGATTCCTTTCTTGTGAAACTAGGAGCGCGATGAAATCATACGAACCCTTCGTGCCAAACTTGCCGAGAAAGAAATCGCCCATGAGTTTTATAAACAAGCACACACCCCTGAGCAGCACCCAAAAGTAATCCAGCGCCTGCAAAGTGAACTTGATGAGGCAAAAGAGACCGTCAAGGTGAACGAGAGCCATATTGAGGACCTTCAAACGACTTTGAATTGTGCACAAGATGCTCTTGAAGAGAAGGAACTTGAGGTCGAGAAGCTAAAAGAAGTTGTGGAGTTAACTGAAAGCCAAAATGTAAGCTCGTTAAATGAGAAATTTTTAGATGAAATGATCTTTGTTTGCGTAGATGACAGCTTTCTTGGTTTTCATCTATCTTCTCCATGCTTGCTCTAATTTACATAGAGTCATCCGTGCAATTTGTTTTTTTGTAAAGTCTGAAGCTTTTTTTAATTGAGTAAGACCAAAAGTTTCCAATTAAATTTTGATATTGTTTCATTTATATACTGTCAACAAGCCGCTTACCTGTCAACAGGGCAGAAGTATAGCAATATTTTGAAGTTGTCTTCTCATTTTTAAGGAATTGGTCGAGTTGAAGGTGCTGCTTGAAGAGACGAGCAAAGCTTTGAACGAGGCTAGGCTCAAGCTCGATGGAAGGGATGAAAAAATAAAGGAGAAGGATGACATCATCGCCCAGTTCAGTGAACAGCTGCGATCTCTTCAAGGTTGGTGAGGTTTTCTTTTCGACTCATACCTTATAGTCGATCAGCAAAAACATGTAGACCTACGAGTGGCCTTTGTCTTAGTTAATTTAGGACAATCTATAGGTCGTGTTTATTTTTGCTACCGCTAACTAGATGTTTTTAATGGATGCATTTTACTATGATATATTGCATTTTACTATTGATGTGCTAAGTCTATTTTCTGATGAAAGATTCAAAAGTCCTATCCCAAGTTGCCAACCACTGTTGAAAAAATATAAATACACATACAAGATTATTTCAAATTATCCCTTTAGAAAAACAGCTGGACAAAACAGAGGTTGAAGAGTTTGGACGCGAGCTTGCTAAGCTTGAGGAGCAGGGAAAATTACTGCATGAAAGAAACGAGTTTCAGTGCAGCGAATTGAAACAGCTGCGTCTCGAGAAAGATGACATTGATTTTCAAAGGAAATTGCTCAGCAATAAGGTTGAGGAGCTGAAGAGGCAGTTAGCAGAGAGTGAGGATAGAAGGGAGCAGCTGGGGTTTAAAGACGAGGAACAGAAAAAAAAGATTAAACGATTCATGGATATAGTTAGTAATCAAGAAACAGCATTAATAGAGAGTGAGGCGATAATCGAGCAACTGAATGAGAAAATTGAGCAACTGACAGCCAAACGAGCAATTGTGGATGATAATCAGTTGCAAAAAGATCAGGAAGTATCTGAAGACGAGGATGAGATTGTTTTTAAGTTACAAGAAACAGAAACGAAAGCAAAATCTATTAGTGAGAGAGAAAATCTGGCTCAAGTTGAAAGTGAAAAGCTTGATTTAAGAAGAGAAGTGAGACATTGCATGGAGAAGATTGAAAATCTTGAAAAGGAGCTTGCAATGAAAGAAGAGGAGCTTGCTACTCAACAGACCAAATATGATACAGAACTTGAGGTTCTGAGTGGCAGAATAGATGGGGCGTTTAGAAAGTTGGAAGATAAGGAGAAAGAAATTGACATGTTGAAAATTAAGCACGCAGATGAAATAAAATGCCATGAAGAGAAGTTTACTAATCGAGAGGATGAGTTAAAATTAAAAATTGATGTGTTTGAGAAAGAGGTAAGAGAACTGAAAGCTGTGGCTGGAGAACAAAAAGAGGAAGTAAATCCTAGACAAAAGAAATCTGAGAACAGTCCAGTTGGTAGTGAAGGCAAGGTAGTTGAAATCAAAGCTGGATCTGGAAGTAATAGTATTCAAGGATCCAAGAAGGATGCTTTTGCTGTGAAAGGTGTAGTTTCAGTGAAGTCTTTTGCTAGTGGAATGAAAGGTGTGAAACCAAAGGCTAAGGCTGGATCTTTCATTCGGGCATCGGCTGCTAGCCCAAGGTCCCCGTATAAATCGAGTAATGTAGCTTTTAAAGAGATGGAAAGGACTTTGAAAGAAACATCAGAGGCATTGGATAAGAAAAATGAACAGGTTGTGATGAAAAATAGGATGGTAGCAGATTTACAGAGTAGAATCAAAGAGTTGGAAGATGAAATAGAAATACTAACTGAAGAAAAATTGAACATGAAAGCAACAATGGTCGAAGAAACGAGCAAGTCAAAGAATGTTGAGTTGAAAATTGAAGAGATGAATGTGGATATACAAAGGGCAAATGATGAAATAGCCCACTTAAAGGAAGAAAAAGTCCGTAACAAAAATGACTTGTTAGCTTTTTCAGCATTGAAAAAAGAAGCGCAAATACTAAAAGAGAAAAAAGGCCTTCTTGAAACAACTGTCGAGAAATCTCGTGAGAAGATCGAAGAACTTGAGACTTTATTCAACGAAGAAAAGTCGAAGAGTGAGGAAAATGAGGATCAGCTGAAAAAGTTCATGTCTGCACAAGAAGTTGCCTTGAAAGAAATTTCAGTTCTGAAGGAACAGCTTGCTGCAAAGACGGATGAAATCGTGTCACTTGAAGGAAAGCTTTTGGAACTTCGTGAGGCTGAGAAAAACTTTGGTGATTTGTTGTCAGCAAAAGAAGTGCTTGAGAATGGAATGAAAGAGAAGGTAAAAGAATTTAACGAGTTAAAAATCCGACATGAAGAAGTTGTTGCTAATTTGAAATCTGAGATCACGGAGCTAAAAAGAGAGAAAGGTTCATTGATGGATGAAGTTGCAACCAAAAATAGCGATCTAAGAACGAGAATTATGGAACTAAACAAGATCATGGAGGAGAATGTTGAACTGAAGAGCAGTTTATGTAAAGCTGAAGAGAATAATTCATTGCTGGAATTACGAATGAAAGTAAGTTTCTTGTTTATTTTTTGTCACTTTTCACTTCCTTTCTCCTCTAGAATCTTTTTCACCATTTATTTTTGTCGTTCTTTCTTTATTCTTTTTGACTAGTTTGTACAATTATGGACATATCCTTTATCGTAGCTACGAACCACAGAAAAGGAACTTGACTCCATGCATACGAAGCAACAAGTCGTGACTGCTCTCGCAAAAGGTACTTAAGATTACCTTAACTCTACTTGTTAAAACTTTCTAAAATGCTCCCTTCTGTAATGTTCACATAATTAGTATCCCGCATGTACTTAAGTCCCGTATGTAATCCGCCCATTTAATCTCGTACAGACGTGTTTTGTTATTCAGTTCTTATGTATAAAGTTCATATACTGTCGGTATTCTAGTAGTTATATAATCAATGACATTTCTCTATGATCAGCTCCTAAAACATTATACCTTCTAGAAGATTAGATGATTAAGTTGAATATGTTGGGCCCTGGTGACAGCTGCTTTCATCAGCTCAAAAACCCTTTCCCATCCTATCGCTCCTAAACAATCTTAATCAATTACAGAGACAAGTATCAAGAGAAAATCCCCACAATGTCACTAAAATTGTCACAAGTATCACAGATTTGTGAACAGAATCTAATACTTTAAAAGTGATTAACGATACGATTATTAAATGCCTCATCAATCGTCTTAGACAACGGGGGTTTTGTAGCCTTCATGCCACGCACCGGGGCTTGCAAAGCATTTTGATGTGCTGTTAATAGAAATGTACAATCATATATTGCCAAAAGTTCTTGGAACATCCAGCAATTTGATTTTGTTTTTATATTTTTCAATTATTTTCCCGCACCCTCTTCCCCGCCATACGTTGTTGATAATTTAAAAGAATATCATAGAAGTTGCAAAAAAAAGAGTTCTTCCTAATCCCCTACGTCGTTTTGTGGTAAACCAACATAGTTCAAGAGGGAAGGGGATTGGCTGATTTCCCCTGGAAAACCTACGTTAGTGTACCAAGACTTTTAACAGGCATTCTAGCTACTGAGATATGTGGTCCGAAAACTCATCTATCTGTCAAACTAATACACTATAAATATAATATTTCCATATTTCATTTATAATTGATTTTTAATTTCAGCTTCTAGAAAGGAAGAAGAAAGGATAAAAGACATGTCTGAAATGATATCTGAGAGGGACCAGATTATGGAACGACAGAAAGAGCAAATAGAAGATAAACAGACGGAGATTGATGATCTTTTGTCAAAGTTAGAAGACGCAAAGTGTCTAGAAAAAGGTATGGAAACTACAAGTTCACAAGCGAGTAAATAAAAGTTTGTGAGCTGAAGGAAAATAAACAAATTGAAACATGAATTCGAAGTATTGAAGCATGCATTCAAAGAGTGATTGTCTCTGTACATATAATGGAGGAAAAAGAGCTTTGCAAACTTTGGTGGTGCAGAATTTAAAATCGAGGTACTGTTGTCACTTCCTAATAGACACATGAGTTATATGTTTGTTTTTTTATTTTCCAGATTTGATAAAAAAGCAACAAACTATTCAAGAACTTCGATGGACCATCATAAAAAAGGACGAGAAAATCAAAGAACTTAATTCATTAGAGACAAAAATGGCTGATCTGGAAAACAAACTAAAAGAATTTGATGAAATGAAATTCCAGAAGGAAACGCTAACGATGCAGGTTGAAACACAGAAGCGATCTATTAAAGGTATGCAAATTGTATTCGACTGTTCTAGAAAATATTTTGAACTTTATTGAGCTGCCTGTTTTGAATTGAAGAAAAAAGGATGTTGTGGCCTTGTTTACAGCTCTTTTGTGGGTGCTAGGTGTTTTTTCTTTCGATAATTAGTTACAGGTGCTTCATGGTTCTCGATCATATAGTTTATGTCAATTCGCCTCCACAATCCCTTACGGTGCTCAAATCGTTTTAACTACCCACCCCTCTCCACTTCTTCTGAAAAATCTATGTGACAATACAGATCTTTTCGCGATATAAGACACATATTAACCTGTTATGGCTTCGTGAATCATGACCAGTATTCTTGAATATTATACAAATTACCGGGAACATGGCATAAAGCACTTTTCGTCTGACGCTCTTCAGAGTATAAGCGTCGGATAATGACCGAAAGTAAGCTGAAAATATATATCCAGTTGTGGATCGAAAGAAGCGTGAGAGGAAAAGGACGCGTTTGATTGGTTATCTTATTTCGACCAATCAGCAACCGCTCCCTCTCATCTAGTTGACGAGTCCAAGAAAGGAAACAAACTCTTTCTATCTGTTCAAGTCGGGGTCCTTTGTTTTGATGTAAACAGATTCAAAAGCTCCTTAATGTAACGATGACCTTGCCTACCCAATGATTTTGAAATTTTCGTCACTTTACGTTTTGGAACATTCTGGATTTGTGTGTAAATGATGACCAATCGCCTAATCATATTTTATTTGGGCGATTTGATTTATACCGAGCTTCATATCGGCACGAAAATTCATAAACACCTAAACTTTTTTGATCGGAAGGAACGCAATTCTTTGGAATGGACTCACAGTGGAAAAACAATCGATTATGACTTTTTTGATTTTACTTTCGAATTTTATTGAAACGTTGCCAATCCAGTTTTTCCCTAGTTCAAATCGAAATGATATCTTCTTGGTAGCCATTCTTCCAAAGAATTTCCTTGACTTTGTCAAGCTCTTGATCCAATTCAGGTCTGGAGCAAATCATTTTCTCTTCTGTGCTCGATCACGCTTCCAGATCGGTTAAACATGTCAGGACACGTGATAAGTCATGTGCTCACTACATTACGACCAATTTGAAGAACGTTGCCTTTTTTTTACAGAGCGTGAACATCAATTGGCTGCTTCAAGAAAGGAAATCGAGGAACTCAAAACGGAAATTAAGCTGAATGCTGAAAAGGATTTATCAGACAAATTTCAAACTCCGAAGGTAAGCCGTAAATCTGTTTTGAACTTAGTTTGTAAGTAATGCGCCAGCATGAATACTGGGTCCGTTTACCGAATATCTTCTACTATCAATTACAAGTTTAATGCTTTAGCTAACAATTTTTAGTGATGGATTTTTTCAATGTTAGTTTGAAAGTTGATTTTATCGAACGTTCTGTGACCTGAGAGGGGGATATTTAGGACTCTTGTCTAACCCACAAATTTGAAGCATAATTTCTTAATCATTTAAAATTTTAAACTACAACCAAAGCTACTTAAATACATGTCACTCACAATAGTGAAGGACGCAAGGTCATCTAGTCTCCATTATGAGTGACATTTACAAATTTCAATTACATCTAAATATAAACACACAAAAAAGTAAGTAAAACAAAACCAAATCAGGAAAAGTAAGGTACCTCTAGAAAAATTTACACACACATTTTTTACATAATTTACCTCTCATATCTAAACTGTTACTAGTCATATCCTGTTTCGGATTGAATGCCAGTTTCAACAAGTCAGTCTGAAATATTATACAAATTGAGGCCCCAATACTTAGGCAGACTAACCTTATTCTTCTAAACAGGTCATGTGAATTGGCCAACGAGTTGAGTTCGCAAAAACATGTATATATATAGCATTATTTTTTCAAATTTTAATGTTGTTGATGCCAATTGCAATCTAATAAAATGTATGAAGAAAATACTTATTATCCTGTTCCTCTTACAGGCAACACCTCTTTCAGAATTAAAAAGAAAGAATAGCGAAGATATTCCCCTCTCTGAGGTGAGGCCAATTATAAGCATTATTCTTGGAATAAAAATTTATTTACGCATTTGGTGTTTGGAACAGAAGAGTTCTAAGTTGCTATACAGGCAACTTACAAATGTCCTATTACATGCACCAAAAACGTGCACAGCCATGTCTATACGACATCGAGAACTTCATGACAGACCCGCAATTTTCATTATGAATTCGTTTATATTTAAATATGAATTGAAATTGTGTTTTTATTGAATGTTTCTCTTTAGTTTTCGTGTTTCAGTTATTTTTTTCGGAGGTCATTTATAAGAAGGGACATATGATTCAAGTTGTTTTCGTTTTTCAAAAGAATTCCATAATGTCTTTCAAATTAGACCTAAACCAGCCTTATGGTTAAAGAAAAATTATCCCCGATGGAAGCAATTTTGAATCAATTTAGGCCAAAAGATTAAAAATTTTGAAAAGCACATATCTTGACTATTTCTACTGAATCAATTGGCAAAAATCTCACAAGATCAAGATTTCTGTCGTGTTGATCTCATATGAATTTCTTTTCAATGTTTGATTTAGTCCTTTTATCTTTTCCTTCACCTTTGTAGCTGAGAGATTGCACCTCTTCAACTAAAAAATCGCCAACAAGGTATGTTATTTTGAATTAATCTTGCTTTAGACATCAAACATCTTTAGAAAGAAAGCTAAAACCCTCTTACGCTTGTAAACTCTTAAAATTCTAGAAGCACTATTATGCTGCTTCATTGAAATAAAACTGTTCTGTACCAATAAAACTAAGCAATTTCTTTTTGCGATAAATTTCACTCCCGTAATCTTTATTTTTTGATGTAGCTTACGAAGATCCACGAGAGCCAGAATATCGTCAATGAAGAAAACAATAGGCGAAGAAAATGACCCGGTTAGTGCATTTAATAGAAATCATTTTACGTATTCTGTTTCAAGATAGGTTTTGAAAATTAAATCTTGAAATATTTCTGATTTTAAGGTAACCTTTCTTGAATCAAAACAGTCAACTGCCCTTGGGGTCAAAGTAGATTAAGGAAATTACGGCAGAGGTTTTTTCCAAGCAGCTTCTTTTTTAGGCCATATTGAGAATTCCTGATTTTAAGGTAACCTTTCTTCACTTAAAGCAGTCAACTGTCTCAATCAAACGTATCCCTAACTATTTTTGCTGATGTTTTTGGAATCCATTGTTACTATTTATCTCGCCCTCCTCTCAGTTGTTATTTTTACCTATTCTATCTCAAAATATAGCTTTTTGATTTTCGGGGGTATTTTTGGTGCAGAAGGACTCGCAGAATTTGACCCATAATTTTGGTAACTTGCCCTCTTGAAGGAAATTTATACTAATTGCTCCATATTTTGTTATATAATGCAATAAAATAACAAAACTGATTCAAGTTAATTTACTTTGTTTCACGATTTTAAAGAATCCGTTTCCTATCATTTCTTCTACCAGGCTCCTGAATACGTTGGAAGCAGTTTAAAGAAGAAGGGAAGTGAAAGGAAAGTCCTTTTTGATCTGAACGAAGAGCCAACTAAGGTTCTTCAGGGTAAGCTGTTTCCTATTCGCTGATGCCTAGTCAGAAATATCTTACTGTTTTTGTTGACCTTTAAAGGTTTTGATTAGGCGGAGGATAAAGAGTTTTGTTGACTCGGCTTGGATCCTCTCTGCTGTCCTGAATTTGTTAATGAATCTTATTTTATCTTTTCTGAAAAATGCTGAAAAACTAGCGTCATTTTTAGTAGTCCTTGATCCAATGAAATTTGTTTAGAATATTGAGTAAACATTTCCTTATTGAGTTAAGTTTTCTCATGGTGGGATCTAGTAAATTAGGTGAATATTTCTCATTGGGTTCCATTCTTTTCTAATTTTGCAAGGAGTTCATGGTTTTTAGCCTGTTTTCGATTTGTGAACACTGCTTACTGTGTATATAATATCTTCAACAGCTGATACACCAGAAAGCGCACAACCAGAGAAAAAGCGGAGAAGAAAGCTGCTTGCCAAAACTGTTGGCATCTGTGCAGAATCACCACAGGTTTGCATTTAATCTTTATATGAAAAACATATCTCTTTTTAAGTTCTTGAAAAATTCAGGTTTTAGGACTTTGTGGACTTGAAGAGACTGGGCTTGATATGACTAGGCCCTTGGAAGATCCGTTTGGAGAGCGAGGTTGACCACAGCTTCTCTATCTACCACAATTATCTATCAATCATTTTCTTTGAATATAGCAACTGTTGTTCATTTTTCTACCATATGTATATATATATCTTTCTTCATTTTCACCGCTGTTTAAAGCACTGTCGCTCCCTGAAATGTTTAGCTTTTCTTCTTGCTACATCATCTTTATTGGAATCAGCTTTTTGTCATCGGATCTTCTGTTGCTGCGATCCCATTGTTTTGAATAGATTGATAAGTTTTCCAATCAACTAAATGCATGTTCTTGTACTTCAAGACTGGTTTAAGAGTTTTCTGAAACCAAGTATTTTGAAGAAGATGGTAAAGGACTTATAAAACTTCTTTATAAGAAGTCTTATAAAGTCGTCTTTCTTCCATTTTATTACAAATGCATTGACCTTAAACTGCACCATAAATCCATACAAAGACTCGCGGGTATACTGTCCCACTACAGAAATTTCTTGCAGAAACGTTTTAAAAAGAAAATGTTGCGAGCTATATTAGTTAAACTTTGGAAAACTCAATACTCTATTTTTCATCGCTCAATTGTGGCAGACACGCTGCATCTAGGAAATGTATTCAACTTAGTAGATATGTTAGGATGGTTTTGTAAATTTCTTCTTACATGTTTTTTGCATTTTTACGACTTCTAAGCTGGCTAGGTTAAGCAGCAGTAGATACCTAAATATGCCGCCAGAAATGATCAAATCACAGCACGGACCGTCTACAATACTTTATTGCTAGAATATTTTCTCTTCTTTTTAGATCATCCCTCCTTCTCCAACAAAAGACGATGAAGTTACGGTGATTGTCAAGAGGCAGTTGCGATCGTCATCCCGCAAATGAAAGTGTCACACCAACAGTGGAGGACCTTCGGGTGAATCTGGAAGTCTTTGGGCACATTTGAGGCTAAACGAACAAATGTAGAATAGCAGAATCCTTTGATTGGTAGTGCAGAATTTCTAGCAACAGTTGATGCATAATGATCAGATTTCATTGTTGATTTAGAAGATAAATACCATTGTTGGGCCATTCCCCCTTCCTTATACCGAAATGTGATCAAATTCTTCTTTTTTGCCATTGTTTCTTGAGACAGTTTTTGCAAAAGCCCCAGACACCTTTCTCTTCATACCATTCCATTCTAGCCTGCGTGCAGATTCGGAAATTTAAAAGAGGAGTGAAAGTAGAGTCTGCGCAACAGAGCCGCTTTTCTTGTTTGCTGACATCAACATTTTATTCTAAGCACTAGAACAACAACTCCATTAGCGTGCAATGTTTTTCTGTAATTTTAGTTGTTCAAAAGAACAAACAGACCTATTCTATTATCCTGATACCATACATTTATACTTCTGCTCAAAGGTGCCACTTTGAAAACTGAAAAAAAAACAATCGAAGTTCCTCAAACCAATCAAATTCGATTCCTTGATTTCGAGGAACCTGTGAACAAGGAAATCGGCTCGGCTTCGCAGACTCTACTTTTTCGCCTATTTTCAATTTTGTCAACAGAGTCTGCACGTAGGCTATTCCATCCCTGATGACGGGAGTAGTGGTTATGTGCTTTACAATACATGTACAGGGGCGTTAACTCTCCACCATAGTACCGGGTTAGACTAACTGGCTTCTGAAATAGAGGCTCGAAAGCTTTTGCCTCTCATCCAATCCTGGTGACTGGCTCTTCGATTCTAACTGTAAATAGCGTTTTTGAGCATCGCCGTAGAAAAATTTTATTCTCGTTATTTAATTTATTTTATAGATATTAATTATTATATAAGTTGGTATTAAACTCATTTTAAAACATTTTTCATACAGTCCATTATCAATTATTTGACAGAAAGTTGTTCGTGTGTTTATTCTTCGTTTTTTGCAGCAATGATACTGAATGAAGAGTTGAAAGTATCAATGTGATTGAAGGCATGAAAAAAGCTAATGTCGTATCAATTCGGACCGGGTTTATGATGCATTTCAGAGAAAAAATATTTGTGTTAGATTTTAATTGTTCTCGATTGGAGAGCATTGTATCAGGGCACACTTTATTAGGTCTTTATTCGGTAATAGACAAGAACAAAGCAAAATGACGACGAAAATCCAATAAGTTTTAATAATAATTTACAACTAATATTTGCTCCGGCATACACGGTTTCATCACCTTTTATCTAAGCCCACTGCAAGATTCACAGAATTCGGCGGACAGTTTCTCCAACGTGTCTTCCTTCTTACATATTCACACTTTATTACTTTGTTTTATCAGAATTATCAAATTTAACATACAACTATTCAACCACGTTAACGCGGAGAAAACTTGTCCCAGTTTATTCCATTTCTGGTCCAGAATGGGGGGGGGGTGAAAATTAAATGGGGGGGTGAGATATTGCAAGTGCATGTGCTTGATTTATTTTTTCTTAAAAAGAGTTTTGTATGAAGCCAAACCATTTTTTTCTGAGAAGTTTAAAATGTCTTATATGGGGGGTTGATAAAAAATGAGGGGGTTGGTCGTCCTTTGAGATTTCCATAAAATGGGGGGATCATTATAAAATGCTATGAACGGTGAAAAATTTTGAAAAATGCAATATGACCCTCCCCTACAATTAAGCACACAAGAGTATAGAGGTATCAAGGTCTCTTACTTTAGAAAATCTGATCAACGAGGCGAAAGAACTTCCATGGTTTCCCATAAAGCGGTGTTGACTGATTAAGGCCTTTCCTGAACATCCACGTTCATCAGCTGCAACTTTTCCTGAATACTTGAAGCTTTGACCGTTTATGACTCACTAACGGAGAGTGATCGGTACTGAAAGAATCATCAAAGTGCTTCGGAATAAAGGCCTTTTTTCGCTGAATATTTCTGACCTCAGTGCATTGAGCTTGCTTTTTTCTGGAGATCAGGCACCATTTTCGCGCATGGAGCCTCAGTTGAGTTTGCACATTGGTCCTCTCTCACTGCTTTCACTACAAAGAGCGCTGTTAAAGATTTCTACTGGAAAATCGAAGCTGCTTCATGACTATGTTTATTGGCTTTAGAATGTCCAACAGCGTGCAATTTACACTAGTGAACATCCAATTGTTCTCGTCCTCTCTTAGCTGATGTAGCAATTCTTTAGCCAATCCAAGGTCTTCGCTGCTTTAATTTCTTTGATGATCTTGATTTGCACCTACTTCTGTTTTGCACCTACTTCTTAAACCGTCGCGTCTATATACTGTACTATAGAGTATTGTCCAAAAAGTTGTTCACATATTTTGTGATTTTGAAATGCCCTGATGCAGGCGCGTTGTTGCAGGCAGTTGTTTCAGTAATTTTTCTGAGAAGCTTCCAAGTTTTGGCTTGGCAGCGAAAGATTTTTTGAGCACCAGGCACAATCTTAGGTCCTACATGGGTAATAAGAGACCCCCGTAAGCAATGTTCCTTCCGCCAGTGTTAGCTTGATTCAAATTGTCACGGCAATCCAATGACAACGAAGAAGAACCCCATTATACAATGAAACAAAATTATCGGGTTGATAATCAGCTAGTACTCTCTTGCTCAAGGGTTGGCATTGCCACCCCCATGCCACCTCTTGGCTATCGGCCTGAATGGTAAACAAATATTTTAGCTATAAGGACACTTCAATGTCATTTTTGGAATATAGTCGAAAGATAAGTAAGTTCATTGCATTTTGCCTTCAAATTAAACATGTTTGTCTTTTTATTTTTTGTTTATTTGTTCGTTCGTTTGTTTGTGTAAAAACAATATTTTTAAATTACAAGGAACTCACAGTCTAATTTTACCTTATTCGACTCGCCAGGCATCACTACAACTATAAACATTTCTTCAACGCGACTTCTTTATGCAATTATTTTCAAAGCTATAAACATTCCTAATATTATGATGCACAATAACTTGGCTTTAGATAGATTGTTTGATGTTGTTTAAGCCATGAAACCATAAAATGTCAAGCTGACTTAGTCATGCAATATAGTTAAAAGTTACCAATTAACTGGAATTTCCTTTCAATGTTTTTATCAAAACAGTTGCTTTTGAGTTTGGCTAAAGGGATTCGCTGCTTTGAATTCATGAGTGAGGTCTTTCAGAGGGTTTCTTCTATTGATGTAGTACTTATCCTATTCTATCTCCAAAATTCGTCAACGGTGTTTGCAGTAGCAGTCTGTTAGTGGTTGAAAAGCAGTCTGGTAGATACACTAGATGATTTTGATAAACCACAAGAATTCAAATATGTGAAAATGAGATAGCTAAGAGAGAACACAGCCCGCGGATCGAGCCTTGCGGGACAGCATTTTGTAAAGTTCCAGCTAATATGACAAAATGTTTTTTTTAATCTAGGTTAAGAGACGTAAGCTTCAAGACCTTTCTTGTCGTTCAAATGAATGTAGATTTGCAGTGAACAGGGAATCATTTTAGGATTCTTCCCGCTCAAAAGAAGCGGATATGTTGCAAATGCGGATACAAAGGATGCCAAGCCAAAAAGTAGGCAATTGTATAGGACATTCACTGAAATATATGCAATATAATAGTTTGTGATGAAGTATTATAATTTTCCCTTTGGAGAGTTGTAAAATTGGTGTCAAAATAAACGTAGATGGATTTTTTCCTGAAAAAAAATGAAGGGAGCCAAGTATTTGGGGCAAACCCTGTGGTTGAATTTGATGTAAACCCTCGTGACTTCCACTTCTATTCAATAGAAATCTATCACACAAATCGCCCTGTTAGACATGAAATTAAACTAACATTACAAAAGAGGGTTATACCCCTTTGACCTAGAGATAAAAATATGACAAATTTCCTTTTTCCCCTATTTTTAGATTTTTTTTTAGAATGTCCGATATGATTTGATGATTTTCTTTCAGAGTTAGAACTTTTGAAACCATTGTATTTCTCAACAGCCGGGCCTTACTTCTCTATTTCTATTGGTCGAAATTGTTAGCTCCTTTGTTTCATTCATCCAATCGCTCGTTAGAGTGTAATTTTCAATTTATGAAGTTGGAAGCACAAGTTGGAATGTGAAGTTGTAACAGCTCGTGTTTTCTTTCTCAAAGATTACAACTATTTTATTTGGTAATGTTAAATCAAAGCTAGACAAAAACTTTGCCTTCGAGAAACAAAATTAACATGTCTAATGAAAGTTGTTACTACAGTCCTGGGGACATTGCGGAGAACGAGAAAGAAAACAATGCCGGCCTTCTCGCGCGAAACCTCATGTCGGAGTTCCAGGATGAAGTTAAAACTATATCAAATAAAAAAGCAGAAAATCGTGAGCCAATAAGAATATACTTGAGGGTTAGGCCGTTTTCTCAAGATGAGCTCAAGGCATCAGAAGATCAAGGATGCCTTACAATTATGGACGACAAGACAGTTCTACTAAGCGCTCCTCGGGATTCGTTTACTTTCAAAAGCAGCAATCGAGGGATTGCAGAACAAAGTCATCAGTTTTCTTTCTCAAAAGTATACGATGAAAAAATTTCACAAAAAGATATATTTGACGATGCAATGCTGGGATATGTCAAAGATTTCTTAGATGGGATAAACTGTCTTGTTTTCACATACGGAGTGACAAACTCAGGAAAGGTATGATGTTTCTGTTTTTGGCGCGGTACTTTCATCCTATCTACCATCTGTAACATAATTTAGAATAAGGACAAAAATAATATGATGTCCTCAAATTAGGAAGTTTTCACAGTAAACGGTTGGAAATTTAATGTGATGCTCTTCTAGATGTATTTGGAAGAAAGATTATGACCTTGCCCTAGTTTGCTATGATATCTGCCTGCAGCTGTTGATGTGTCAGAATCCAAAAACAATTTTGCTAGAAGAGCGTAAAATAAGAACTTGAGTCTAGTGCCACTTTCAAAATCCTGCCTTCCAGAAAGAATATTGTTTGAAATGTGTGCCTTTTTCTAAATAAAAATAAAAATAGGGAACGAAGGCATTATTTTTAAATTAATTTTTGCTTTTATAGCAGCTAAATGTCATTCCATCATAAAAGTGTGTTATATATTTTGCAGACATTTACAATCCAAGGAAACCCCAAAAATGGTGGAATCCTTCCACGTGCTCTGGATGTTCTGTTTAACAGTATCAAAGGAAAGCATTATGAACATATGAATATAAAACCAACAATGTATCAAGATGTTTCCAGTTTGACTCAAGAGCAACAAAACTACGAAGAAGTGCTCAAGAAAGCTGTTTTAAACGCAGGGCAAAAGCATGACATTGATTTATCAATTTTGTGGAAAATGAACAATACCATTCAGAGTGACACATCAATGATATCAGCTACCACTACTAGCACATCATCCACTAGCTATATCTCGGCGAATGATGAAGGTAAGATATAAGGAAAAATAGGTTGAACATGCTCTGTTGTCATTACCAATTGAGCACTGTATCTTTTTTTAATGATATAGCAGGTCTGGTCATCCACATAAGATGGACAAAGGGAAAGGAAGAGTAAAAAAGAGGTTCCCAAGCTCAATCACAGACGCTTTTCTTGCTCTCCTGGCTGATCTTTGGTTGATCTATCCCCTTCTCTTCACCCTATTTTGGCTATACCACTGGTTACTGTTGGAAATAGAATATTTATAATTTTACTATGATGTATATATATATATGTATATATATCATAGAGTTGAAGAAAATAAGACTACATGATTTATCTCTACGAGCCTGTTTCGTGAGTAACTCACTCTTCAGGAGATGTTATCACGCTCTATGTGCTAACGTATTGAGCACTGTGCTACAAAAGTATCAAAAGACAAATTTATATATGTATATATATATATATATGCCAGATTATTGCTTGGTCATTTTATGACTGCTACAAAAAGTAGTCTAAAGGTGCCTACACAACCATAACTGGAAATCAATCTAGCTTGCTTAAAATTAAAATATTGAAAATTCTCTAGAATGCATGAAATCAGCTAGAAATATTGCAGACTGCAAAGGAAATCAATGAAAAAATTTCAAGGATTTGTAGTAGACCAGAGGTGTTCTGTATTCACCTTTTTGGAACATTTGGTTTTTGGTCTTATTAGGACATTCTTTTCTGCAACTGTTATTTTTTAGCATTGTATAATATTTAAAGTTTCTAAATAATCAAAAACATTGCAATTTATCTGCACCTGGTGAGTGTTTTATTTTGGTTATAATGTGCCAAGTTATTGTTGAGCAAGAAAAAACAGGATGTGTTTTAATCAGTGTTTGCTATTTTTATGTTTAGCTTTGTTCATGTCTTTTTTTTTCTTCTTTTTTTTAATTTGCTACATGTTTTGGCTTAATCATAAACAAATACAATAAGCTAATTAAATACTAACTGTTTATCTCCACCATTTCCTGTATGGTCTACCAAGGAGTACTTGTTTCCCTCTAATGGTAAACGATAGTTGTTTGGAGTGTGGCAAGGGTTGGTGGCTGGTACCAAGCATGGTGCACTTGAAAATACCAAAATATATCATGAAACTACAGTGCTTTCATAGAAATTAGAATTTAATTTTCTAAGTATATTTTATTTCTAATATTTTCAAAGCCAGAAATACTATAATTTCTTATAATCTTATTGACAGATTACAGCTCAATATCTGATGAACTAAAAGAGAGAGTTTGTGATGGGACAGTCATTGACATCAAGTCTCAAGGACCAGTGAAATTCAGTGTTTGGGTGTCCTTTGCTGAAATTTACAATGAATATGTTTATGATCTTCTGGACCCCACTCCTCTTGGAAAAGGAAAAAAGAGACCAACACTAAAACTTGGTGATGACAAAAAGGGGAATCCATACATCAAAGGTATGATGAATGATTCCCTCTTTCAAAAGCTTTCTTTCTGTCTTTCTGAATGCAATTGGCAATGCTTGAATTTTTTTGACAAACCAAATATATGTCCATTGTTTCTTCTGTTTTGTAATAATTCTCCTGTATTGCCTTTTGCAACTATCATTGGCTTGGTGACATGTTACCAACCTCAGTTTCTGGCTACATTTAATTTCAACCCCCTTGCAGATTGATTCATCTCACATTGTGCCATTTACATACTTAATGAACTTTTTTATAATTTTTCTCAATGCAATTTTGCAAGGTGTAAAAATGTTACATCATGCTACACAATTTGAATGTTTTGTGTGTTTATATTCTATTAAATATTGATACAATTTACATTTCATTTCAGGATTAAGGGAAATTCAAGTCAACTCTGCTGATGAGGCATTCAAGGTGTGTATACTACAGAAAATAATATTATAATTTGTTGCCATGAAACAAGGCTAAATTTTGCTATCTTGTATGCAGACCCAAAAATGCGTATGTGAGGATAAGTATCATGCATGAATATTTGGAATCTCAAAAGCAATTTCGTATGACTTGGAGTAAAGAGGTAAAAAAGGGCAATTTTTACAACACCGTCTTTATCATAGAATTTGTCCCGTTAAATATGTTTCCTCATACACTGTTTTTGACCGTAGGCATTACTCTCGTCAAACATAGTTACTTGTAGTTGAAAAATCGAAATGCAAGGTTTCAACGATTTTTAATGCTTAGATATGTTCTTTGGGTAAAGTGAGTATGATCATAAATGAACATCAGCATAAAAATTTTATCAACGAAAATATATCTTCAGCAAAAATGTTTTGTCTACATAAAGGTTTCGACGGCAAAATCCTTCTCCTGCATTTTTTGGCATTAATTTCTTTAAATTCTTCTCTAAAAATTCTTACCACTTAGTGTGCGAACGAAATTTTTACCGCTAGGGTATCTTTCTATCCTCTTCAGTCATCAACGCAAAAAATATAAATCAAACTTCTAGAAAAAAAGGAAAGAAAGATGTTCCAAATTTCTTCTATATCCTGTGGCATAAGAGCGTCGTTTTAGGCCTAGGGGGAATAAACTATAATTTAAGGAAGGTTTTCTATTCTTGGATTGTATTCAGTTTCGCGCATACCAAGTTTGTACCATTTTGTTGTTTTATATTTTTTTAAGGTTCTGAGGGTGGGTCAAAAAAATCAGAATATTGCAGCTACAAAACTGAATCAAAATTCAAGCAGAAGGTTTGTTCACTTTGGATTGTAGACTGTCTATAAATGAATAATAACGATCAATGTAAGTAAATGGTACCAGGAAAATTTTTTTAAAATAGATAACGACGTTTCAAGCATAGCCCGTTATCAAGTGAGTTGTGAAGAGATATGTGATATGTGAGATGTGTCTTTATGTGAGTTGTGAAAAGAGAGCATTGTGAATCGTCAGAGATGTTTATGAGATAGCTAATGTTTGAAATTAACAGTACCCCTCTGATACGTCAATAAAATACTACATGGTTTGAATAAACGACAATGACTGATTAAGCGCTGGGGACTCAAATAAGCGCCCTGTCTGAATAAGTGCACACCCTTAGTCGTTAAGTTTATGATAAGCACCCACCTCTGAATAATCACCCACCCTTACAGCTTAGAAATTGGATTAACACCCAAGGTGCTTAACCTGTCATTTACGGTATGTTGTTTTGTACAGCAAGCAGCTATGTATTAAAATTCGCTTTAATCCTTATGATTTTTTTAATCTTTATGTTTTTCTTTTCATTTGCAGCCATTCAGTCTTCACTATCAAAATCCTCAGGGTTCTTGATGTCGATGAGCCCCACGTGGCACGTATAAGCAGGTTTGTTGACAAACACCTTTATGTAGTTTTTGTGTAAAATTAAAAAGAAGAAAGTTTTTTTAGAAATGGAAAAGGAGGCCTGGAACCTATCCTGCCACGGGATAAGCTTTAGGGGGGTTAAGATGTACGAATGAAATGAAAGAGGAGGAAAAGATAGAGAAATGAACACTGGGACAGTGTAAGAACAGACCTATCGAGTCTCACGCATTTCGCACGAATCTCGCTATTTTGTGCAAGCTAAACAGTACAGAAACATTAGAAAATGAATTATATATAACCGAATTAAATCAACGAAAAGCTAAGGACTGATACAGGAACTCATGCCCTGTCTTGTAAGCCATACTTTTTGCAGCTTTATTTTTGACAGAAAATGTAAGATTGTACGATGCATGTAAATAAGTAATATGCACTTTTTCTTGCTTTATGTTTTATTTTTCCTCCTTTATAATTTACTGATGCTCCATCAATCAGGTTGTCTTTTGTGGACCTGGCTGGATCTGAAAGGTACTGCAAAACACAGAGCACAGGGGATCGTTTGAAAGAGGCTTCAAATATAAACACGTCAATCATGACCCTTGGAAAATGCATCGAATATCTACGATACAACCAGCAGCACAAGTAAGTTCCAACGACTCTCCACATTGGCAGAGCAAGATTTTAAATTAGAAATGCTGTGCAATCATTGCCTCAATTTTATTGAAGTGGCTTCAACAAGGAGAGTCTATTCAATATCGTTTTAGTTTATAAAAATGATTCATAAACGTAAGCTCGGTTTCAATAATCACTCCGAATTATTTAGTGTTCAAATGTTCCCATGATTATTGTGTAATGCTGTGGTGAATAGTGTCCTTTGACTGCCAACAATGGAACTAACATTCAGAGACACTTTTTAATTAAGGAGTTCCTTTGGCCCATCAAAAAATCCATCATACAGAGAGTAGACTTATGAACTCTCCCTGAGATTGTACAAGTCTAGGATATCTCTCTCTGCAAACAAAGTTTTATCTCAAATCCACTTTTAATTGCATTCCATTTTCATGCATTTCCCCGAAGCCGCTATTTTCGTGCGGGAAACCTTCCGTGCAAAGATTTCGAAAATTGTTACTGATATATCGAAATTTAATCATCTATTCAACTATTTACTTTTCCTCTCTATATAAAGGACATGTTTATTTCACGTGCATTACTTAACTAATAAGAATTTCCATCTCTTCTCCTAGAAATCATCCAGTCATTATCCCATATAGAGAGACCAAGCTGACTCGACTGTTTCAAGGGTTCTTTGTTGGGAAAGGCAAAGCCTGCATGGTCGTGAACATCAGTCAATGTGCGTCTGTTTTTGATGAAACCTACAATGTACTCAAGTTCTCTTCCGTTGCAAAACAGGTTAGATGATATACAAATTTGACTGATAATTTGAGCTGAAAATCTGCATTTAGACAGCCTCACTATTCTACATTAGCCCTTAGCCTGAGATCGAGGCCCCTAGCAACTGGGGATGGATGCCTCATAAATAGTACCGTGGAGTAAATCTGAAAAAATGCATTCTTTAAAATCTCCAATCTGCAGCAAACGTGAAGGAACACTGCTAACAGATGCAAGTTCTGATTCACGCACAGGGGCGGACACTTTGTCAAATATTGGGGGGGGACAAGCCTATTGTTTTAATAAGATGACGTCACATTTCCCATTGTTTTAAAACAAAAGACCATTGTCCTCTAAAGTATTTGGGTCGCCACCCCCATAAGTGTCTGCCACTATTCATGCATCCTTCTAGTTAAACAAATCTCCCCTCCAAAACCTTGAAAAATTGGATATACTTTTTCCTATTGTACATGGATCTCATTAGAAGCCGGCAACCGGCGAAAGTCCGCCGCTTACTCACCAAACCTTTGCCGCCTACTTTCACCCTCACTTTAGTAAGACTACACAAACTTTAGTAAACTTATAGACACCTACTTTTAAATGTGACTCTTCTACTTCAGACTTCTCGGTTCTTGAATCTATCAAAGGGGAAACATTAAAAAAAGTCCTCAATATTGATGACATAATTTGCTAAACCAACACAGTTTTCTTACTTATTTCAGATATTAAGTTTGTTCTGGACAGTTTGTGCATTTTTTTAAGACATCCGTCTATTATTTGTGTTATGTGTTTATTTGCAAGGTCACTACAAAAGGTGTTCGAAACAACGAGATGCCAAGACCGAAACAACCACCAAAGTACTCGCTTGCAAGTGCGACGCCAGTGAACAAGTTTGGAAAGCACAGTTTAATAAGTATGGGTTTCACCACGCCCAGGCCTATCCAAAAGGATATTATGTTTGAATCTATGTGTGATGAAAATGATGATGAACGCGTGCAGGCGCTCGTAAAGAGTTACGAGGACCTTCGTAAACAGTTGGTCGATGAAAGGCGCAAAAATGCAGTGATGGAGCTGAAGATAAGAGAAGAAGTTTGTTCCGAGATGTCAGATCAAATTGTCGAAATTGAAAGGAACTACAAGTAAGTTTTGAATAGCAAGGTTTCAAATAGATCTTCTAGGATGAGTTGCATTTATGTCTTTTATGATAGTTGCTCCGAGGGAAGACCCCCTGTTTCAGTGCAAGGAGTTGCAATACAACATCAGTGACAATATCTTGGCTAGGATTGTGTTGTCTGCAGATGAAAATGATATAGCTACTACTTTCATCCAATAACGGCTATCTTTAATTTAGACTTTTATGTTTTATTGCATGCTTTTAAGTTAACAAACACCTCTTGATAGCGAGCGACTTCAGGAAGAGCAGGAAACGATGGAAGAAATGTGTGAAAGAAGAATCGAGATGCTTACGAAATCAATGAAGAAGGCGAGGAAGAAAAGAAGACTTGAGTCAGAAGACGACATGTCCGATGTGTTGCTCCAAGCAGAGAAGGCTAGAGTTAAGGTGAAAGTACTTTCTGTTTTACCGATGCTGCAGGTGTGAAAAATAATGATGATGTATAATGTCTAAACTGTTTTCTGATTACCCAGCGAACTCTATTGAGTTTTGTTGCTTTTTCGTTAGTAAAAATGAGTCAAACGAACGTGCTGTAACTCAATTGACCATATTTAAGAAGGCTGGGCTTTCCTCTTGTCTTGATGTCTTTAGATGCACGTCTTTACCTGGTGAGATAACAATTCTTGTGTTATACGAAATTATATGCTGGTGCCTGAAATCCAGTTATAGATACAGGATGATAAGGACAACCATTTATTGCTAGGCTCCGATTCTAATCCCAATAGAGGACTGTGTAACTTCGATCCATCATAATGTAAATTCCAGTTTGGATTCCAACTTCAATCCGTTCTAAATCCATATCTAATCTTATCACATTCAATCCAATCTAATTTTTATCGCCCATTTCAACCTGTATTGTAAGTGACTATAACAAGAAAAACTGTTAAAGCGTATCTCATACCTTATAATTTCTTGTGTGTGTTCGTTGTTTAAATGAATGTTTGTCGCACATTAATAGATTGCATGTCCCCAATCTTCTCCCGACCCTTTCCAAACTACTTACCTTCTCTTCATTACATTTTTCGTAATGTATATACAGTTGGTCCATCGGTCGAGAGAGCTTCTTTCCAAGGAACTTTTCTTATGAACCTAACATGAATCTTATAATCCAAAAGAAAATGACTCAAGCTGAAAAGTACCTTTGCTTTAGTGGTGTTTCGCTGCGGTCCAGTTTTTGGAACAGTTAGTGTTACACATCCCACAATAGGGCAAATAAAAACGCTAAAAACACTTAAAACACGACCCTCTGGAAAAAACAGTCTTTTTGTCATCAATATCATTCTACCGAAAACAGTTTCTGGTTGGCCTATTTCCATCCTCAACTGGGTTGATTTTCGTTCATTATTTTGACGGCTTGGACTATGCAGAGTCTCAGACGAAAACCTTTAGTTTAGTATGTCTTAAAATTCGTTTTTCTGAAACCAGGAGCGCGATGAAATTATACGAACCCTTCGTGCCAAACTTGCCGAGAAAGAAATCGCCCACGAGATATATAAACAAGCACACACCCCAGAGCAGCATCCGAAAGTCATCAAGCGTCTGCAAAGTGAACTTGATGAGGCAAAAGAAACGGTCAAGGTGAACGAGAGCCATATTGAGGACCTTCAAACGACTTTGAATCGTGCTCAAGAGGTCATCGAGGAAAAAGAACTTGAGGTTGAAAAGTTGAAGGAAGTTTTTGAGTTAGCGGAGGGCAAAAACGTGAGTGGTCTCTAATATGTTCATACCTGTTGACAGGATTTTGAAACGTATCCAATACTTTGATTAAATTCCTTTATAGTTCTTTTTCCTTGTCAGTCTGGGGTGGTTCTGTTGTGTTTTCTGAGTCTTCGATTCATAGACATTGCAGCTATGCCAAACTTTAATGAATATACATGCATTTGCTAATTTCAAGGCCCACGAAGTTTTAACTAGGAATTTAAATAAAATTGTACTAGGGGAAAAAGCGAATTTATTAACGACGTTTCGGGCATAGCACTTTATTAAGTCTTGATAACGGGCTAGGCTCGAAACGTCGATAATAAAATTCGCACTTTTTTTCTAGTACAATTTAACTTACATTCTTAGTTATATTCGATTATATGGTACAGCACACAAGCTAGTTTATTTACGGAATCTTAGCAGTTAAGTCTACACTGATACATGACTGAGTCCCATTGGCACCCATTGGGGTATACATTCCAAATTATCAGTGGTTTTGCGTGGCTTATCGCATCATCTTTTTGTACCTTTTTCTGGTGCCATTTATTCTCAAACTCTACTGTGTTCACCGATTGTTTCCCTCAATGCATGTGCGTTATTTCTCAGCCCTAATATATAAATTACACACAATGTTACAGGGTTTAGAATCCTCTCGGTTATAGCCCAAAATTAATACTAGCATTTGCAGAACTTGCGTTTATGTTAAATCATTTTATTTTAATTTAATTATCTAGATTTTATTTACTTTTTCTTTTACTGGATTAAACTTAGTTTTCCAAGCTGCATTTTCAGTTTTGTTAAATCAAGATGTTTTTGCTTTTGGTTCGAAAACTACATCCTGCCATAAGAATCTTTGCTGTCGTCAGGCATTCTCTCTCCCGTTAAAATGCCACGAAGTTAGCAACTTTGTAAAGTTATTTTTTCGTTTTTTAAGGAATTGGTAGAGTTGAAGGCACTGCTGCAAGATACGAGCAAAGCCTTGAACGAGGCAAGGCTCAAGCTCGATGGAAGGGATGAAAAGTTAAAAGAGAAGGATAACATCATTGCCAAGCTCAATGAACAACTGCGATCTCTTCAAGGTTGGTGAGATTTTAACCTCTTATTTATTGTGACCGAAGGTAAAGGAGTGTTGTGGTTGAATCCTCATTTTGATAATGGACTAATATAACTCTAGTATGGACTAACACGATACAAGGCGAGTAAAGTTGTTATTCGATTGTTTGTCATACATTCCAAGTAGCGGGTACGGTGAAATAGCGAATCATCGGCCGCCTAGGGTCAGGGAATGTTGTATTGCGAATATGACATCCAGTCAATCGTGTTCTTTCTCCGGATTCGCTATGCCCTGGTTGTCTGTCCACTGAAATTAGCGAAATCCTACATTGAATTTACCAGATTTACAAGGGGGAAAACAAGAAGCCTACTGGATAAAAATACTGCAAGATGTACAGTAACTGCGCTTTAATGAGAAGCCATCCAAATGTTCAACTCATTTTAGACCTTCCAAGGTCGGGAATATTCCCATACGCTTTGGTAGGCTTAAAGCACCTTTGAGCGTAGGTCTTGGGATGGTAACATAAGGTCTAAGGTCTAACGCAAGCAAGCAATATATCGCAGCGATTGGGTTGAATTTTTCATATGCATTAATGTTGACGAAAAGCCAAATAGAAAAAGCTGGCTGAGTACTCTCTGAGACTTCACGCTTCCTAGAAGCTGCTAAATCATTAATACTGGGGCATGAATACATATTAAGTCCTGTAAAGGAGCGGCTAATAAGACCATCAACAAAGATAAGTTGGAAATCTTTTTAATCGAAGCCTGCTATTTGGGCTATTCATATTCTATATTCATTTTCAATAACAGCTACCTACAGGAAGTCTCGGGAAGTAAACTAAACTAAGCATAATGTTCATTATGCATACCAATCTTTGATAAATAAAGTCATCAATAAAATTTTAAGAAAAAACTTGTTTGACCTGTGAATTACCTGAACCTCAAAACTTTGAATTACATTTGGCTCAAGGTAATTAGATGCTGGTCGTTCGAAAATTAAAATCTTGTGTGGTGTTTTTCCACAGCTGACACTCATGGTGCTCAGCCAGAAAAAAAGAGAAAGTTGGTCGCTAAAATTGGTGATATACGTAAAGATTCTCTAAAGGTTGGTTTAAAAAATATTTTAAACATTTTTGAAAAATTGTAAAAATTTTGAAGGTTTTTAACAAAGTGAAACATTTTTTATGTACATTTTTTTAAAGATCTTTGAAATATTGTACTTTATTTACAATGATCTTGTAGAGATAATTCTAATTCCGTCTGATTTTCTTCATTTCCAGCAGGTTACACTCACCCCATCAAATGAAAATGACGTCACAGTGTATATTAAAAAGCAGCTGCGTTCTTCAACGAGAAAGTGAATGCTAGCCTGACTTTGGTGAGCCTTTCAAGAAATGTGAATTTTTTTTGAATTTATTTGAAGGTAGACCAACAAATGAAGAATATTTGTTCAATATAAACATACCTCTACCAATCCGTAATAAAAGGTAGATCTGATATTTTTAGTTAGAAAGGAGCATATGGGTAACACCCCATTACCCTAATTTCATCCAGATGAAAGCTCCCCCTCCCGTCATAAGATATTTGAGTTCGAGTTGAATAGTTTTGTAAATAGTATTTTACTGTGAAATTGATAGTATATAATCTTTCAATGATAATTTCCCATCATTTATTTCATATCATTGATATTGGTATTTATTGCTAAACAATTTCACCTGCTCGTAATCACATTTGTACATAAAGGTGGTTTGATGTGCGACCATCTCCAACGTTATAAGAATCAACAGGTCTTTTAACGTGATGGCTTGAGAACCGTTTATAGAAATACCAACATTTGTAGAGATTTATAAGAAAAATAGTATAAAAACGACCATGCTTTTATCGACTGAGATTCAAGAAATACAATGCTTTCCCTGTATCTGAAAAATAAAGTTCCATTTTTCAAAAGCTCCATGCGTGAGTTTCAATGAGTTCAAAAGCTCCATGTGTGAGGATGGAGTTTTAGTGCAACATAAACACCTTTTAAACTGTGGCGGACACTTGCTCGAATAGTTGGGGGAGGGGGTCTGTTTTGATAGGATGACGTCACTTTTTTCTCATCGTTTAAGAACAAAAAACCCCTCTTTCCAAAATGTTGGGGGCGACTGCCCCCTTGCCCCCCATGTGGCCGCCGCTGCTTTTAACAAATTCCCATGTAAACGAACATAAAATTTCTTTCCTTGATCTAACATTAACGTGCTAAATTGTTACGATTATGATAATAACATGTGCCAATTTTGCACCCTTTACCAATTTTCCCCCAAATTTATGGCTGTATTTATCTACCATTAACCACCAAACATATTCTGATTCTGATATCTCTCCTGAAGAGTTTTATATCAAAGCAAAGAGAACAAATTGGTTTTTATTTTCACACCAAAACCTTCACAGTCTGGGTAAATATTTGTAGATTGCTTGCGCAATCGTCTGCCTTTCCTGCCTGTGGTTTGGTTTAAGCTTGTCACCCAGTAGTCAGAGTTTGAGCAGGGCGTGTTGTGAAAGAGTTCCGTGAGACGACGATGTCCTGTTTTCCTAGTGTTTGGGCCCCCGCTGCATTGTCATACTTTACGGCCATAGCTTCGCTGGTGTTGTGCATTCTTATTGTAACTGGCAATTCGCTCATCATCCTTGCAGTTGTGTTGGATCCATTACGAAAATTGCGAACCCCGTTCAGTTACTTCCTCGTCAACCTGGCGGTCAGTGACCTGATCGTGGGCTTGCTGGCAATGCCAACTTCCGTCGGTGCACATTTTAACGAAGCTAAAGGCTACGTCAAGTCATATCAAGTACTTCTCATTCATTTAACCTACTTTATATCGACAACAGCAAGTGTCTTAAGTCTAAGTGCCTTGTGTTTGGATCGTTTTGTCGCTATCAAATGGCCTATAAAATACAGGAGAAGTCTCTGCTTGTCAAGATGCCTGTTGATATCTGTTAGCATTTGGATATTTTCGTCGGCTATTACAATGGTCTATCTCAAAGTCGGATATATCAATTACTTGATGGTCTTTGCACACATAGCCATAATTGTTACCTTTTGTATTCTTGTTTTCACATACCGCGAAGTGTACATGGTTTTAAGGGTACAATCACAAAGATTCTGAGGTCCACCGGAAAGTGGGGTGGTTGGATCAGGTGGTGACGGTATCGAACGTCATGATCGCCGTGAGATTTCAGTACAAAAGAAAGTTACAAGAGCTTTTCTGTATATTTTGGCGTTGTTTATATCCAGCTACTTGCCTGCGATCATCATGATTTATGTACTGCAGTTCTGCAACAGCTGTAATTGCACCCTAAGACACGTTCTGAGGGATCTTCAGTTTGTTTTGGTTGCTGCCAACAGTGCCATGAATCCATTTGTTTGTGGAATAAGGCTAGGTGCTTTTCGAAAATCAATCTTACACATTATTTTTTGTCGGAAAGTAGCAGCAGGGAGTGCAAGCTCGACTCCCCGGATCGGAGCAAGAACAAGAAGCGAAACAGTGACTTCGTCCGCCGCAACAATAACTGGAATTCATGAGATCCAAGAGATCTCAGGGACCAAAGAGATCTCAGGGACCCAAGAGACCTCAGGGACCCAAGAGACCTCAGCGACGCAAGAGACCCAATCATGATAAGGGATTGACGATAATTTATTTATTAATACTAATCCTCAGAATGAATTTTTTAAAATTGATTATTGCCAATTAGTTGGTTTCGATGTAGGATGCATTAAAGAATTTTACCGAATTTTCTCGATTAAATACCCCCTCGAAAAAGCGCCTTTTTTGATTAAGCCCCCCTCGGATAAGCGCCCCCCTCGGATAAGCGCCCCCCTCGGATAAGCGCCCCCTAAAGAAGCCAACATTTCAAGTAAGTGCCAATAAGAACCCCAAAAACAATAATTTTTATTGATTATTTTTGATTATTTTTGGTTGATGTAAAAAGATTTTTTTGCAAAAGCGGCTGACACCACCATGATTACTACACTTGCTCTCTTGAAATCCAATGAAAGTAATCATTTTTCTTGGCATTACAAAATTTTCATTTGTAGCAAAGTTTGTTCTCTGATGATTTCTTCAAGTTTGCAATCAACCGTCCCCTCGAATAGGCGCTCCGCTCGAATAGGTGCCCCTAAAAAGTGCTGAAATAAATGATATTCCTGATGTAACGTTTTATGTTAGTCGGGTTCTTCTTAGGATGGTGAAGATACGATGGGGCTAGGCCAATGGGCCTAAGCCCCGAATAAGTAGAACACGAGAGAGACTCTATTCTGATGTTGTCTTTATTCGTTCAACAGCAAGACTAACTCTAAAGTGAACATTGACGGAAAGTAATTAAGAGAACAATACGAACGTCACAATACATGTTGACAGACAAACACATTGCCATTAGAAAGACGTTACTGACACAACAGGACTCAACAGCACATGTGACTAGAACATGCAACTGAGATATTACGAAATATATCACACACTAAAGCCAACCGTTACACTGAGGCCACCAATTAATTGAGGAATCACAATATGCCACATCATCTGCTTTTAATGTGGAGTTTCGAGCAGCCACGGCATTAAAAATCGTCTCCAAAATTTTGATGCTCGTCAGATTACTTGCAGGCCGGTTGCAAAATTGTTTCTAATATCAATTTTCTTTCTACAAGAGCTACAAACTCGTCAAAACCAATTCGAATTGATCTCGCTTCTTGTTTCAAATGCGCTGTTCACTATCACGAAATGGCTATTTACACCGCTGTTGACACACTGTTGTGGCCTATATGCCCAGCTGATAGCACAAATGAAAGCAATATAATTTTAGAATGTCTTGGCTAAGCCCATTTTTTAATCTGCACTGCAAAAAAGCCGTACTACAATGGAGACTCCATTGTGGAGAATCCGTGCTACTGGAGAATCAGAATCAAATGATTCAATGCGAGGCAGAGATAATTTTCAAGCGAGGAAGATGCGTTAATGCGAAGGCGATAAATTAATGCGAGGGAGAGTGACAAGGAAAATGTTCCTGCCCTACTCTATTATATTATTTGACCTCCGCTGCCGTAAAACAGTGATATTTTGCCCTTTGGATAAAAAGACCTTAGGAAGTTAAGAAATATGATAAAACAATAAATAAGAAGACTATAGAAGATTCAGAATTGCCTGGAATTGTTGAAGACGAGGAAAAAATTCATTTTACGAAAAACCGGGGGTAGGGATAAGCAGGGGGTTACGATTAGTTGCAAGATAGTTGGAAACAGGTTTGTTTGAGGGAAGTCAGTGAATATTAACTAATTATGCTAGTTTGTTTATAGAGACAGAAACGTTCTTTTAAATTTAAGTTAGCTTCCTTTTTTCCTTAATCCCCTCTTTGACACCTTCGTGCAGTGTGGATGTTATATAATTCTGAATTTGAAAATATTCTATGTAAAAAGAAAGAATGAGTTATAAATTTGTAATAATTATTATTTCTTTCCCAGCACAATTTTTTTTAACATAAAAGATATATGGCTACCTGATAGTGTACAACACTCAATAAAGCCTGTTTGAGGCGCGTTAAATGAGGACTAAAAAATTCTTGAGGCGATGCAGAACATACCCGATAATATTTTGCGTCTTCTTTTGTTGATGCGCTGCTGCTCGTATTTGGATGGGAAATAGATAAAAATGAATAAATGGGGGAAGGGGTCTGGAATAATTTTGTCTTCGGTAGTTTTTTGGTCAAAAAGTAAGCATCCCCGTAGGATTATTAGAGATTTCCATGGGCTCCGACGCAGGTTTCGAAGTGGGGGGAGGGAATTTAACAATCATAGCAAAACATTTTGAAAAAGCTCCATTTTTGCAAAAAAGTTGGGGCATGGCCTCCCGGCCCCCTTCGTCGGAGGCCTTGCTTTCAGAACAGGCATCTCCTGAATGCGGAAAGTAAATGTGCAGAGTTTCCAAAGTTACAAAGAGGCAATGGTCTGAACAATGAATTACTGACGCAAAGGCGGAAACTTTCAGTTTCACACTTCGCAAATAATGTTTTGATGCACAAGAGTCTATTTTCCACAAATGTAATGAGTGTTTTGGGGTTTAAATTAGAAGTAATTGAAAGCCCATTCACACTAATAGCAAAATGCAAGCATTCGGTACCGGGTCACCCCGCAAACATAGGATACTGTGGTGCTCAATTTTTTGTAACTGATGTTCCCCAGAGAGTCTGTGTTCCCATGAACCATAACAAGGCTTCTTGTTCCTTTTCCGAAATGTTCTCAACAAATCTCTTGAGTTCTTGACACCCCTAAAGATCTCTCGAGTTCATGTTCCCGTAACCCCCCCCCCTGAATTTACGAGATGTTTCCATGTTCCCTTTAAAATAAAGGTAGGTTTCCTTGTTCCCCCCAACCCTTTGGAGGGGCTCATAGCTGCAGAAAAGGGTTTGAAGCTGGCCATTACCCGATGAATTTAACATTTTTCTAGACAAACATCATTCTTTAGTACTAAGTTTTTGAATATGATCCGTGCAGATGAAATTTTGTTCCGATGAAGGCATTTGATTATGTTTTGATTTCATTATGTGTATTTTATTCAGAACACATAAGACAGGGATGGTATCATGTAAAATGCATTGATTAGAAGAGAGGCACTTCCAATGGATAAAAATCCTGTGTGTTGTAGGAATGAGCCATCTGT